GGCGGGCTGGGACCCGGCAGAGCTCAGGACCGCGGCCCCTGCCTCCTCTGCCTGCTGGCCTCTGAGCTGCGGAGCCGGAGCCGGGCGGCTGCGGGGGCAGATCCAGCTGCGGGGGCAGATCCAGCTGCGGATCCTCACGGAAGGGTCGGCACCGACCCCGGTTGCGGCCGAGCGTTGTTCAGACTCTGTTTCTGAGGAGGAGACTTCCCGCGGGAACTCTCTCATTTTTAAGCAATTTGTTCGAAGAACACATGGAGTAAAAGTCGCCAAACTGGGGCACTGACGTGACCTGAGTGGGGATGCTGGACCCCTTCCAGGGCATCTGGCACCAATAAACGGGAAGGGCTTGGCCGAGAGCACAGACAGACAGTAGCCGTAGTTGTGTTTCTGTTTATTAATGCTGCCAGTTAAAACCTACATGTCTGTTCCGTAGGCTCTTGATGCAGATTTTGAAGAAACTTGACAGCTCACAAATTATAGTAAAAAAAAAGCACTAAACATCTGATTATTTTTCCATTTGGGTCATACCAACTCTACATACGCCCTGCAGCTATCACCCATCGGTGGTTATTCAATCTGCACTCGCCACCCTGGTCCTCGGGGATCTCATTTGCTCCTATCTTTGTTCAACTCAAGTGTAAGTGTGTCTCAAGGTTCAGACTGCTGTTGTAAGGCAGCTGCAGCCTGAGTACTACTCATCAGATCTGGTATCCTCACAGGGGGCAACAGCAACAGTAAAACAACAACCAGGAGCAGAGTCTTACATGGAAAGGCTGGAGAAAATTAGAAATTTAATAATTATAATGCAGTTCAGAGTATAATATATTAGCGGCACTTTCATAAATACACCTTTTCAATATTTCACCATCAGTAATAAAATATATTCATCATTTGTCATTATTATTAAGAATGTAATTACTGTACTAGCACTCTACTCGTTTAAAAAAAATGTACAGTTGTTGAAAAGTTACTTTCTTTCCTCCTTCTCCGGTCTGCACACCATCTCCCTTGACATGTGGATGGCCTACTGAAGTGCAGTTCTGAGGTTTTGTGACTATTTTTAACATCAAGCGGTATTAGTCAGCACGGACTGTATCGGCTTTTGCACACAAGGCACAGTAAATCCAGGTTGACGTATAAACGATCCGTAAAGACAGCATTTCGCACAGATACATTGCAAAGCTACGGAACAGAAACAGCGATTGTGTTCTTTCAAAAACATTTCTTTTCGACACTTTTGTTCTTGAGTTGGTTACATAGCCCAGATTTCATTTTCAGGCAACCTAACATTAATAGTCTACGAAGGAATTACCACCTAAGGAAAAGAGGGTATGAGAGACTGAATGCCGGCCTTCCCCAATTACACCTTCAAATCATCCCAGCATTTCAGAAAAACGAGAACTGTCACCTTCAGATACCTGTATTGGGCTGGCCGTGGGGAAATGTAATTCCATGGGCCTCGCCACTGGTGTTCATTAGATTTACATCACTTCTTTAAAAACAACAATAAATCAACTTTTACTGCAATTACAGTGTTTTACATTCACCCTTATCCTAAATTCTTTGCCAAAAGGAGTTTTGGTGTCTGGTCAACAGCCTTTTCTAAAACTCATAACCTGGGGGTTGGAACTAGATGATCTTTAAGGTCCCTTTCAACCCAAGCCTATGATTCTATATGCTGAAAAATGTTTAATTGAATGTCAGTTTTGGCAGCATTTTCCCACAAATGTCGAGAGGGACCTATGTCTCATTCTGGGCTGCAGGAAACCTTTCACCTCTCCTGGGACTGGATGTGCATCCTGCCCGCGTCCCTGTTTGACAGCAGCTTGAGGCTCACACAGCCACGCATCATCCACCTCTCCTCTGGTTTCCATGGAGAGGATTTCCACCAAAATCCTCTTATGTTCAGTCTGGTGTTGTCTTACCTCATGCATTTTTTTTTTTCCAGTGCTTATTACTCAGTTCTTAATTTCAGTTTTAGTCACACAAGCCTAAAGCAACTCCAGTTCATTTCAGTGCAGAGCTTGGTCAGTTTTTCCTAAGGGTCAGGGTTCACATCTCTTATGTACCATTTGCACACGCATTGTTACTAATCCTTCCCCGCTTTGCACAGCAGAAGTGAGGTGAGTAGGAATCACAAGATAAATCCACCTGGTCCATAGTCTACTGGAAAGGAAGGAGCAGACCGTGCTCCAGATTAACTGTCCTGGTGCACGTTTCATGACCTACTTGCAATTTCCCAAATGCGGGAAGCATAGTTGCAAGGGATGAGGAAGGAAGCTGAATAATTGCGCAAGGTGCCGTGGAAGTTAATGGGAGCAGTAAAAGGAAAAGATTAAAACAAAAGCAAATGTAGAAATGAATCCTACGGGTTATTTTTCTTGGAATAGCTATGTATTTTGTTCTTACTTACATAGAGGTAACTCTGGAATTTATGTTTTCAAAATGGCACAAATACGTATTAAAGTCTCATACTGGTTCTGACTCATTTCACCTCTTTCTTTACTGCACCTGCCTTCAACAGGATGACGTATCAGTGGTCACATTCTTTTACTTTCTCTGAAGGTTAATTGTTTTCCCATATTTTCACATCCCGCGCGTCACTGTTAATGGAAGGAAACCACTGATGGAGGCACCACAGCACATTTTGGGGGTCAGTTCTCTTAATTTCTGGTTTTGTTGTCATTTGATACCTTGTTTGTCAGCCAGTCTGAGGAACGAAGAGTAACACGTTTGCCATCACATTTCTTAGCACATTTTGTCAAAGATTTATTCCACAACGAAGTCAGCAGAATTGCAGCCATGAAAAGAGACACCACAGCTCTATTTCACAGAACACAGCTTACAGATTATGTTCAGGTAATCACTGCTTATAGTAACTTGGTTAAAAATATAGAATACCAGGTAGCACGTGATTTTTGACAAAACTCTTAAGAAAGAGCTTTTAAGAGGCCTCATTATGAACGGCCAAAGGGAAACCCAGTAGCAAGCGTAATCCATTTGCTGAGGTTTGACAAAATGGCTGTTTGAAAAGCAAATCCTTTAGGACAAAGCGGAGAACCTGCCGTAAGGACGGTCAGCGTTCACTTAGTGCTCACTGCCCCCTGATCTGGCTGTGTAATGAAGTCCTGAAGTCCTGACTTCATCTGCAAAATTACTGCAGCAAGCGTGTCACGACAGGGGAGCGCCCCAAATCGTGACAACAACATTTCTGCCTGCCTGTTCAGACCGGAGCTGACCAGTGTCGCTGAACCAGGTTACTGAACTTCCCCCAGCGTGGATTCTCCCCGAAGCCCTAGTAACGTTAAATTAAGTGGTTATAACAGCTCACGGTTTCATCTGTGAAGGAGTGGGTGTGCTAGAGGTTAAGGGGGACAGCGGAGGGAGCGCTAACCCTTCTGTTTCCATTGCCTGGCTCAAAGCGCTCTCGATTACAAGCTGGTAAGAAGTGATGGCTCACCCCCCCATGGCTATGTGCATCCTGGAAACGGGCAAGTTGAAACTACGGTACGGAGAAGGAATGGCTAAGGTTACAACACAAGTTGCTGGCGAGGATTTTGCTACTGCAGCTGGGCTATATAACAACAGGGTTTGTATTTTTTTTCCTTCATAATTTGACTTTCCCACCCAAAATAAAACTTGGCAACGCGGAGAAAGCCAGCTAATTACCTCCTCCCCACTGCCACTTCAGTGCTGTTACTGCTGGTGGTGGTTTTGCTCCCATGCTTTCAGAAGATCAGTTGCCAGCTGTGAGATGTGCTGCCAGGCAAACTTGATGTGGGCGGACTCCACCGTGCGCGAACAAATAGCAAAACGTAGCACAAACTTCTCTCGCAGGTGGCACGGGACCAGATGAATCTTCTTGGCCTCGTTTATGCTTTTAAGAAGCGCCTTATTTAGTTCATTTGAGCCCTGAAATCATTGTAATTCAACGGATATGGTGACGGATTTCGGAAAGAAGTTTGGAGCATGTAAATCCCACCAAGCAGCCAAGCCCAAGTACCACCCGTAACACGCAGCCCCTTTCTCATCTCTCAGTGCTTTGCCATCAGAAGATGACAAAACGGTGACAGCGCAAGAGAGAATTTTTCAGCCACAAAGACATTGATGGATTACCTGAGGTTTAGAAGCAATGTTCACCCTGGGGCATTTGTGACAGCGGACTGCTTTTTGGTGACCTAAATTCGTGAGCTGTGTAGCTTCATGTAAGAGCATTCATGGCTGCATCCATTTCACTACCCTTGCCTTAGATCTCATCAAACAAACGTGGGAGGAAGCTTTGCAATTAACTGTTCGTTACTGTCATCTGTAACGTTTGTAAAACAAACCTTCCAGCCTTCACTTAAGCATGGCTGCTGTGACAGTCTTTTGAATATGAAGATGGAAGTCTTACCCTTAGTGACGAAATAGTTAAGGTAATGCATCCTTGGCATAAGGAAGTTTTGTATGATCAATAGAAACCCTAAAAAAGTATTTGCCTCAAGTTCTGTAGGGAGTATCCACCACAGAATCCTACAGAGTAGGGGTTTGAGGAGGACTGTGGAAATGTGGTAAACTTACCCTCCCACTGGAAGTAAAGACCTTTCTGTGTTCCAGGAAACTAAGATACAAATGTTAAATGTCTTGCAGAAGGTCAGAGGGACTCTACGTGCAGGCAGCACTGAATTTTATCTCCTCCTAGCGTACTTGGTTCTCCTTATGCCCAAATAGCAAATGTGAGGATCTCCCTTAGAGCAGCTGTACGCTCTTCATATCAGATCTCAAAAGAAATCGGGCTGCACGCAGGAGGACAGCTTCTTTTACAGGTTCAGCTAATGTTGAATCATTGGTTTTCCTAGTTCGTGCCCGTCTGCATTTGAGACTCAAACAAAAGATGTCATCAGATTTTCAAAACCAGTTGTAAATGGCCTCAAATGAAAACAATGAAAGAAGGGATCCCAAAAATTTTTGTCTGCTGTAGCAACACAGGGTGAAGTGCCAGCTGCCTATCTTTGACAGTCTTTGTTACCCAAATTAAAGGAACCCTTCTGTCTAGCTTTTGTATCAGCAGACCAGGGATGGCTTCAGCTTTACTGGGCGGTTTGCCGTAATAGCTTGGGATATACCATGTCAACCTTGAGCGCTGTAATTTTATTCTTTGTGGAAGCCTCTTAGCTATTGTACAGCCTTTCGCCTTTCTATTACACTGCGCCTAACACAGAGTTGCGAGAGCTGCTGGGAGCGTCTGCACCGTTCCCGCAGTGTTTCCTTACTGAACACTGACTGTGGTAGGAGAGTCACAAAGGGACAAATCCGTCCGCTCGGCAGCAGCTTTGTTTCTGTAGTGGCATAGGTCTCATCTTGAAAACATCCATGTCAGAAAACATGTTCTCTCAAATCTGCGCAGTTGTGATTTGCCTGCTTAGCCTTTTCCGTATAAAACCAAAGCATAAGGGAGACACAGTTTCCCATTGGCACTGAGGATAAATGTATTATTCTCCTGGTGTTGGACCAGATTAGACTTAGAGCTGAACCCAAGTCAAAACCTTGTTCTGACTTAGCACAAGTTGTTAGGGCATTTGGATGAGAGCCTGAAATTCATGGCTTAGCCTTAGTTTTCTAGGGTATATTTATGCAACTCGAATGCTCCTAAGAAAAGGACCAACTTCGGTGTTTTGTAAGCCTCCACCCATTATGGGTCAGTCACTGGAGACAATGATATACTGCTTTCTTATCAAAGGTAATCCATCGTTAAACTGATGATCCTGACATTTAATATGAAATGCACAGCACTACCTTTTAGGCAACACAAGCAGTTATATGATGTTAATGCTCTTGGCAGGGGTGATGGGAGGGAAGAGAAAGATTTGTGTATCTTCCTTCTGCTCTACTCTCACAGCTGCACCTAAGGGCTGCTGTGACACTTGGGTGTCACGTCAGATTGAAGTTAGAAGTGACTAATCCCATCCCAGAGCTTTGAGAAGCCAGCAGCCAGCTCTGATGGAGTCTATCAGCTTCAATAAGGCAGCATTCTCACCCCCTTAGAGAAATGACTGGCTTGACTTTTATTCAGCTGCAGACATGAAAAGGAGGCCAAAAATTAACCCTTTGGCATGATACTTAGATTCCTTCTTTGACATTTGGTGATTATGGAAGTCATAGATTATTAGTCCATCTGCTCAATAATGTGAAAGGCAGAAAACTAAAAGTCACAGCTAAGAAAAAAAAAAAAACCACGTTTCTCAAGAGCAAGGGAAGGAAATTTTTTCATAATTTTACAGCTGTGCAGCATTACTGTTCAAGTTCCTTGTTCCTTAGTCCTGCTGTAACTACATAAAAGTTACAAGTATCCTGCTTCTAAGATGCCTTTTAGTACAAATTACAGAAATCAAAGGAAGATTTTTGAAAGAGTGATTTTAAAAGCAAATAAAGTTGCAAAAATAACTATAAAACGCTCTTCATTTAAAAGCTTGTTAGTTTCATTTTCTTTCATTTTTTGGACAGGGAAAGCAAACAATGAAAACACTGCTGTTTCAGCATTGTTTTTCAGCAGAACTGGGGTTTTACTCTACAACTCATCCAAAAGTTTCTTAGCTAGGTGTCCAGTATTCACCTCCTATTGCACAACTGTCTTTCCCTGTAGATCTGATTTCTTCCTCTTGATCATCAAGGACAGGAGAACTGATGTAGGTGAACGACTGCTCTGATCAAAAGTGACAGTTCCCGTGTTGCTATGCTCTATTTCACCAGGACGGTTCCTTTACAGTAAATGTAGAGCACTGACTAACAGCTGTCTCTGGATCCCCGTAACTGGTGTTTCATTGTTCCACATGAGAGAGCAGACTACAACCAATGTCTTGCTATTGGGCAATAAAAGCCACAGAACCTATTCCTCAAAATATTTTAAAAGTTCTTGTTAGGGAAGAAATTATATTCATGCTTCTACTTACTGGAAAAGCTCCACATTCTATAATCTGACTAATCCCCTAGTAACTGATCTTTTTTTTTTTAATTTTATTTTAAACAACATAAATTCACACAAAACCATTTTCCTATTCCACATTAATTCACCATTAACACATCATTAAAGATTCGTTAGCTCCTTCAGCCTATTGCATCAAACTCGGGTAACTGGGGCAACTGAATGTCTGAGAAAAGAGCTTGTGAGAAGTAGCAATACTTCACACTACCCAGAAGGATGTGCTTGTGAGCCTTCAGAAAAGCTAAAAGCTCATTTAGGTATCATGTGAACTAGAAAACACCAGTGTTGTTATTGCTGTTTGGTGTTCAGATTCAGTGTCAAAATCCAGCCCTCCACAGAGACTTTAGTTGCCAGATCCTCTATTAAAAATGCTTTTTGCCTAAAACCAAGACAGTGATCCCATCTTAATGTCTGATTAAAAAATGAACCCTCCCAACTACTGCAACTCTTACGCTCTGAGTGCAGAGTGAAATTTCTAGTTTCTGTCAGACAACATCTGTGTCAATGAACTTGGTGCTTACAGAGATTTTGGACAATGAAAGGCCAAGAGTGGTAAAAGGGTCATGTTCAGCCAAAAAAAAAAAAAGCAGACCAGGGCCAAGGGCAGTTGGAAGCTGGCCTTCTATGCAGCCTGTTCGTACTTGTATCTCGCTCCAATGTGCCCAGTCTGACTGTAGGATTTTATAAATGAAAATGTATTCTTTAAAGAAAACAACAACAAAGTGTTTACTGTTCTAATCTTCATCCATGATAGTTTATACATATATATAGACACACAACTGTATATTAAATATATACACATATAAAATTGATTTGACAAGAAACATCTAATACACGCACATGCACTCACACATCATATACAAATGCCTAGGGAAATATATTAAAACAATCATCTTCTTCAAAGCATAGAATATAACAGTCATTTTGTATGACTGGGTAGACCATTAGTTTCCCTTGACTTTATATTTCCATACCCTAATATGCTGGAATTTCTCTTAAGCACTTGATTACTTTTTAACAAAATTGTCTTACGCTTCTTCCTTTAATCTGTTTTGATCTACATGAACTCTCTTTACTTTCCTTAAAAAATAAGTAAGCCTATTAACTACGAAGGCTATATTCAATTGCAGGTTACTGTATTTCTATAAAACATGGCAGAAGAACTGGGAGGTCTTAGCTGCCTTACCTTCAGCCGAAAACAGACCAGTCCCAACACAACCTCAGCGCAGATCTCAAATCTTTCATCTTGAAGGACTAAATGTTCAAACTGATGCGACAGCCTGACATGCTGAGGAGAGAACAATAGTGTCTACATTGTATAAATTTGATTCATCAAGAGAAAAGACATGCTAAATTGTTTCCATCCCTCAATTCTTTTCTCTGTTCCCTCTTCTGATGTGTGGCAACATTCACGTATTGCCATCTGTTTATGTTAACTTACATCCCATTTATGACTTCCAGAGACTGTACCGAGCCATTGCCATATTAGTAGCTCAGTCTATCTTAGGCAATACTAGGCTGTTTCTTAATGAAACGTTTCAGAACAGTTTTATAACTGCCATGATACCATATTAATAGTAAATAATTGTCATAATTCTTCTTCAGGTTTTCCACCACTGTCGGTTTTGCCTGGGAGAGGCTACAGAGTCCAAAAGTTATCGTGGGGGAAGGGGGAGATGTACAGATGTATATCTAGAGAGAGAGAAAATGATCACAATTCCAGCGCAAAACAAGGTGGAAAGATACACTTTTTAGAATGCTCACTTAATATGAGAATGACTGTGAAGAAGGGCAGAACTTGCTCAGTCTTCTGACGTGGGTGCTAAGGTTCAGTTGAAAAGAAAGGCAATGGCAGTGTTACCAAGAAAATGGATAGCAAATCTCAGCCAACCTGTTCAGAAGTCACTGAGGAAAAAAGCGTGACTCTGGACACCAACCCAGAAAAATTATTTTGAGTGTAGGAAAGCAGTGCTCTTCCAGAATCAAACAAACAGGAAAAATACCAACAGGCATACTAACAACCAGCTCAGAAGGCTTAACATCAGTCATACCACGGTTCACTTTCTTCCACGCAAAATTAATTCAAAAGCACTCGGAAAAAAAGAACCCATATCCTCATCAGGTACCTGCAGTACCTTATCCAGTCCCCCTCTCACTGGCTATCACCAGATTAGTGCTCACTGCCCTAAAAAAAAAAAGAAGACAGCACCAACCAACTGGATGTTAGAATTACAGTTTGTCTTCATGCAATAGCCATTGACACCGAAAACTACCAGCACCATTTAAAACAGTGTTTAGAAGTTCCTTAACTTTTATGTATTTCTGATTGCAAATAATTTTATAAAATTAAACAACTAACCCTGTGTCTTTTCCTTCCTTTGCACTTGCCTTTTTACAAGTTCAAGGACAGATACCAACCAAAACTGAAACATTTCAGTTAGGCCAGGGTTAGATGTGGAACATTTCATCTTACAGAAATGTTTTCCAAAAAGCAAGAATGAGGCAAAACAGAAATTACATTTAAAAAAAAAAAAAAAAGAAAAGAAAACAGATTTTGCAATCTTAATCATAGCTTTCTGATTTTTGTTTATTTCTTAAAATAGGAAAACACTGTTTATATTGAATCAAAACGTTGATTCAAAACCTTCAGACCGGGCATACTGGTACCCTATGTAACCAGCCAGTCTTGCTGTTGTTACCACTTCCTCTCTGCTGTTTGTTACATCTATTTATCCTCTCCCTCTAAAATTAGACTGAAAGCTCTTTGAGTCAGGAATCAGACTGATAAAATGCCCAAACCTTTCCAAGGCGTTTGATGTTCTGCTAATATAAATAACATGAGTTTAAAGCTATTAAAAACCGACCAGAATGATGTGTGAACATAGATACTTGTATGCATAAGTGCATGGAAGACTTATGTGAAATATGCACCCGTGTTGTAATGAACTTTTCCCATCTCCTCCTATCCTTGTGTTCCATAGCCTTAACCAAACTGATGATGTGTTTTACACAGCTCCACAAAATTTCACACTGCATCTACTACATCTTGGAAATCAAAGCCATAAAAAAATCGAGTTCAGTGAGATGAGAATTTCACAGCTGTTGAGCTGAATGTAGTCACCAACTGAATTTAATCAAAATTTACCCCTGTAGGAGCTAAGAAAACAAAAATTTAAGATTTGGCGTACTGCGAGTAGTTGGTACAAGAAAACTCCAGACCCGTGCTGTTCATTTTATAGCAGGTGTTTATGTCCACTTTTTGCACTAAAGGATTTTTCCGGAAATTTGAAAGAAGTACAAGCAAGGGAAAATAGAGAATATTCAGTAAATGACAAACCAAAATTCTGGGAAGCCTTTTCGCTGTACGTTTACCCATACCGACTCTTTACCGGCAGCAATAATGTGTAAAGCCACCGGGGGGCACCAAGTGCTTTGGGTTATACAGAACCGGCACCGAGAGAAAGTGGAGGTTGAACTGACATTTCCCCTGGAACAGCTTTACTTAACACACTTCCCCAAGGCCCTGCACCTTTGAACTGTCAGCTGTTAGCCTGAACTGCTTTTAAGAAGATTGTTGCAACCAAGCATAGTTAAACCCGAGAAAGTTAAACATTATTGAGCCTGGAAGTTCAAACTCCGTAAAAATGCCGAAGGGCTTTTAGGTATCGCACCCGCTCTCCGGACGGGAGCATGGCGATGGCCATGACACGTGTGCCTGTGGTGCTCCAGCTTTCCAAGACAGGCAGGTAAATTGTGAAAATGAACTCCCGTTTGGAGAACTGTGAGCACTGAAACCAGGGGTAGGAAAGAAGGAGAGGTAAAAACTGACAGGCTGCTGTTCTCCGTTTGCTGCTGGATGTGTACATCCCAAACCTGACCTATGGACACTTTAACCCTCCGAAAGCTTTTGATTTTGTCATTTCTGTCATGCTGTCCCCCTGGCACCATCAGCTTAGAGTTGATGTTTATGTATTATTTAATATTTTAACATTATTTTATTTCATACTGTTATATAATTTAACAAAAAAGTAGACATATACAAACCAACTCACATGCTGTTTCGAGCAATGTCATTTGGACAATCCCTTTATCATGTGGGTTTCCAAAGTGGAATCACATGGACTGTTAGTGGCCTGAAAAGTCTTGGTATATAGGCACAGAATACCAGCCCTTCTCTTCACAGGGGAATTTACCGGATGGAAGGAAAGAGGCTTCGAAGGAATTCTTGTGTATCATTACCTATGCCATGTATCACTATGTCGGGTAAATAACCCTTGCTCATTTGCAGTGTGAAGAGAAAACAAGAAAGGGGTGTAATTAATTTGGTTATTCAGGATTAAGAAATGTCTTGTGTAATCACTAATGAGAGTAGTAAACTCATGAGACATTAAGCTGTGGTCCCTATTTTAAAAAGTCTGTTATCTGCCTATGTATATGTGTGAATAGAAGTGTAAGTTCTTCTGCACTGAGGTGTTTAAACTGAATTTTGATTTTTGGGCAAAGCGTTCAAGAACTAAAACAGTTTTTGATTGAAGGGAGCTTCTCTGAAGCACCAGCGTACATTAATGTGTACCTGCAAATAAACCTCCCTGCCGAGCCTTGGTCACTTCATACTTTTCCTCCCGTAGATTTCACCTCTCTGCCTGCCTGAGCTCACATCCCACTACACTGAAGGAAAATGCTGTCCAAAAAGTCTTCTCAACAGCCGCTGTGCCACTCCACAGATGAAATGCTGTCTCTGAGTTCTGTACAGTTCCAGTTGCTTGGTCCCTGCTGTTACTTTTTAATGAAATTCAAAGAAAGAAGGATGTGGTACACTGATTTCTTCTAGTCCTATGGAAGATTCACCTGAGTCAGAATGTTCAAGAGGATCACATATAAAAACATTAACTGCTAAATTGCTCAAATGACTTCTGAGCAGTTTAGGGGACTTAAAGGACTAATAGATGGTCAAGCAGTTTGCAAATCGTCCATTTACAAACGTCTGGGTTTCACGTTTATTCTGACTCTGAGTGTTTGGAACCAGACTGGAAGGCTGTTGTTGTTGGGTTTGCTCTCTTTGTACATCTCCTCTGCGGCTTTGGGACTTACCTCCAAAATTTGTATTTTTCTCTCCCCACATCCGTCAGAAATGACTGTCCTCCCCTTTACCACCGCATAAAAACCTATACTTTGCAATAGGTTAATATTACATCTTGTGTGGGAAAAGAGTGCATAACTGGAAGGTTTGGAAAACAAAAAAAGTTACTGTATCTAAATCCAAGTCACACATCCCCATCTCCTGGGAATACTTCAGTTCCTAAATGCTTTCCTCAGTACATGCAAATGGCAGGTTGCAGTGGTTATCTAGTCATTTTGATGCAGACCTTAAGGCTGCAAATGTAACAAACATCTTTTTCTTAAAACATAATAATAAAAGAGGGAAAGAAAAAAATGCAGATAAGTTTTTGTGGTGGAAGTTTACATCCAGAAAAAAAAAGTTTGTGAAGACATAGTTGCAGATATCTTTGGTCTTCCATAGAGAAGCTGGCTACACAGCAAATGGAGTGGCTTCTCAGGGATATGCAGTGTTTTTGCCCTCTATATCATCTCAGAAGCTCATCACTATTGAAAATCTCAAATCACTTCATAAGTAACATCCAGCTGTGCAAAAGAAGCCTAACTGGGACTCCATAAACACTGGATAAATCTTCCTACAGTTTTCCATGACTTAGGAGGAGAAGTGTGGGGGTTTCCCCCCCCACACCCCCCAAGGTGGTCACAGCATCTATATTGGGATTTTTATAAACTTGGAAAGGAATTGAAACCCTATGCCCCAAATCTCTCAGCAAGGCCCAGCCCTGCCTCTGAACAGGCATGTCCTAGCTGCTATTGTATAGTGTGAACAGGGGTGACTTGCCCTACACACAGATAATGTCAACATATGGAAACTACGTGGTGTACAACCACATGCTACATCCCAAATGCAGGCACCTCCTTCCCCATGTTCCCACCCACGGAGCTATTTCAAACCTCCGGCTCTTCTGCCTGACCCTGTGGCCCTTTCGCTGGGGCAACTCCTTAAGAACACAACAGAGAGCACTTCCTGTTTCCTCTGCTCCAGCCACTCTGCTCACCCCATCCCTGGAAGTGTTCAAGGCCAGGCTGGATGAGGCTTTGAGCAACCTGGTCTAGTGGAAGGTGTCCCTGCCCATGGCAGGGGGGTTGGAACTAGATGGGCTTTAAGGTCCCTTCCAACCCAAAACAGTCTGTGGTTCTATGATGAATTACTGGAGATAGAAATTTTTTTTTTTTTTTAAAGTTGTTTTGGAACCCACTGAATTTATTCAGCATTCATCTGGTGAGGAGAAACTAACTTAGTGGTTCCACTTTGACAGATGTATACAGTGATCCAGATTCATAGAATCACAGAATGGTTTGGGTTGGAAGGGACCTTAAAGATCATCCAGCCCTGCACTTCATTACCCCTCTAGCCCTTTGAAAGTTGCAAACGGGAGGTTATCTCTGTATCCTGGGGAACAATTTACAGCTTAATGAAATATTAAACATACACGCAAAATTCAACAAGCTCTTGGAAATGTAGCTGTCTGAATTAACTTTACAAATACGGGAACATATTAGAGTTTTACTTTGGAGTCAGTATCTTTAAGAAAAGATTGGTTTGCTTTTGATTATAGGAAGACAAGCACTTTTTGGCTGGACAGTCAGGGAAATGTCTGGAAGATTTTTGAGGGAACTTGTTGAATGTACATACTGCTCTGTAGAAACCACTCTGATAAAGGGCCAGGTAATTGGTATAAGCCTTCCAACTCTGTGTTCTCAGTGAGAGATTTAGCTCTGCTTGAAAACTTGGAATCATATTGAAATAATTGCAGTGTCCCAGAATCTAACCTGGGAGAGTATCCCACTAGAAACTGTAATGGTAGCCTAGTAAAGTGATAACAAACCTTGTATCAATTTTTTATCAGAAGGATATGTAGCAGATTGCCTCAAGGATGGCAGAACATCAGGATTGTGGAGTCTGAATCTTGTGGAGTCAGTTGAAAGTTATAGGGTGATAAAAATGGGAAGCAAAGAAGGTACCCTCCATCCCAGAACCTTTCCAAATCAGAAGAGAATTCTTCATGCAGTGATTTTACAACAGCGGAAAAAGCCTTTCTTAGGAATTAATCTGGTTAGTACCACAAAAGAAAGGAATGTGGGTCTACAGGGAGTTTGGTATACTAGACCAGACCTTTAGCTAATGGAAAATTTTGTAAATATTTACAGCCAAGTCATGGATCTCCCCTCACTAGAAGTTTCCCTAAACTTCATAAAGATGAAAGGTATGCTTGAATTTGACTTTGCTGCTACAGAGGAAATATATGTATAATTTAGACTGGCTCCAGATGTGTTTTTTATTGATAAAAACACCCTTCTTTTTACATCAAGAATAAACTTAGCACTTATTCATAACAATGTTAACAAATGGTAAATTGTACACATTCTTTAAAAAAAATAAAAAAAATCTATTTTAAGCAGGAAACAAAGAAGCAGCAGAGGTAGGCATGCCCAGTAAGTAAACGACTGTAGCCCTTAATCATAATCTAAACATGCTATCAATGCATGCACATTAATAAGATAAAGAAGGAACAAATAAACAGTTTTTTTCAGAATAAAACCATGGATGTGCTCTGGATTAATTTGAGAGGGAACTGTGGTCCTACATGGTAGAAATTCCAAATTCCTGGACTTGTCTTCCTGAAGTTTAACACAAAACAGATGACAGTGTTGATCCTGCTATAAGATGAAATTGTGACACTCCATGGGGCAAAAGAGCAAAAATGAGCAAAACCCCTATTGAACTGAGCTGCCTAAAAGCTGTTGCCTGTGCTTTCTGATGTGTACAGAAATCATGGTAAGTAAGTAGGAAGCCAGCTCATTTTCCCTTCCTATGCCACCACCCAAGAAAGCAAATTCCAGTCACCTTGCGGATGTGGTCCTGCAGTCCCGTGACCCCATACATCCTCAGCACGAACCAGAGCTTCAGGGAGCGGAACCTCCGGCCCAGGGGGATTTGCCAGTGCTGCAAGCCAGGAAGAAGGGAGGGCACCCAAGTTAGAAGTCACCGGTGCAGTGATACTGTAGAAACTGTACATTTTTCAATGATTTTGAAGCGTACCACATATTGCCACATCCTACAGGCAGTTGCCAGAGGTGGGTCAAATCGTAGTAGAAATGTCTATTCCTGCTTAATGTCCTGGTGTGACTGTTTGATACTCAAAATTTTCAACTTAAAATTGGAAGGGGAGGTTGGTGTCAGAATGGAAGGGTCACAAGGCAAATTAAATTTTCTTCGTGCATCCTGAATGCTCCTCGAGGGCTTTAGAAAAACATGTACCTTAGAAGCTCATGTACAGTGGCTTGTTTACATTTCTGGGGCTAGCATCTACAGTGACAGGCCCATTTTCCATTTCAAAACAACAGTATTTCAATTGTTTAAAGATTAAAACACATAGGTTTTTTTCAAACAGTAATATTATTCGCTATGTTAAGGAAAAAAAAATCTTTAGGACATTACTTTCTCCTACCTAAACCTTGAGATGGTGCACATACAAGACAATTTCTGCCTTTAAACAATTATTTTTAAAAAAATAAAATTTAAAGTTTTAGCTTGAGGAATGTTAAAAATTTAGCAAGCTGCATCCTTCCCATAAAGAAACATAAGGCTTTGAGGTTTGTGACAGCAATAGAAAATAGAAGTCCTGACAATATCAGCATAGATATGTAATAGTATTAATTATTACATTGGTGCTGTACTTACCCGATAATCTGTTACAAGACCTGGAAGTTAAAGAAAAAAATGTTTACATTGCCTCATCACAATAGCCAAAGCCTTCAATCATTCTAATGTTATTGAAAAAGCTGTATCTTAGCTATCCTGTATGTTTCCTACAAAATTCAGCATCCTCAGTGTCAGCGGGACCACTGCATACCTGGTAGGATACTTGGCAGCATGTTAAATGGAGGTGCTTGTAATAAGCTTCATTCTTTAGATTACAGCACTAACAAATTAAACCATTTACATAAGAAGAAACACCATTTTCTTTTCTGTTATGCTGCAGGTACTGTGGGGATGGTGGGCTAAATACTATATTTATTTTATTCTTGTAAGGAAAAGAAGTAGTAGATAAAACAGCTATTACTATTTTAGTTTTTAAAAGTTTGCAGAATCCCCAAACTCACTTCATCACTCATCTTCTGCTGTGAAATGTCACCACCGTTATCTTAGTGAACTGCTAACACTTTTGAAAATAACCTACTTCTAACTACATTTTATACTCATCCATATATTTGTTGCTAAATCTTCAGCATGTCTAATGAGTGACTGGAAAATTTGACTCAGAATTGACCTCTCCCTGCTTGGGAAATAGTGTTCCGTGGGGTTTTATGGCTTTTCATTTGATGTAGTGAAAGCCCCTTACAAACACAGATTGACCAAGCCACAAAGCAGTTCAGGGAGGCACATAGAGGGCATTAGCTATCTTTTATATAGGCACTCAGAGTCTAGATGCACCTACGTTTTCTTTGAATCAGGTAATTAAAATGATTTCACAGTAAAGGAAACTGTAACATAAAACTGGATTACTCGCAGTAAGCCAGTGACAGAAATTAAACCGATGTGAAATTTAAAGCACTCCTTTAGGAAAATGTGGAAGCATCTGTTTAGCTTTCTTACTGTGCTCTATTACTCTGCAAGGGAGTGTAAGCTTCTCAGGAAGGTACGTGCTTAAATTCAGTGAAAAAGTGCTCCTGGAATTGTGAATGTTCTATATGGAATTGTAGCTTCTGAGTTTGGCCCGTCTATGTAATTTACATAATTCTCAGCCTTTATATTGTCTATGAGTTAAAAAATAAAAAGACTGTATTTCCTGTGCTACAAGTTATCTCGCCAGTGCTCTCTCATCTCTGCAGCCAAAACACAGGAGAAAACCATGGTCCTTCCTCCCTGCAACATACAGTCATTTGGTTCTTTAACCTGTTACTGGGTTATTTTCCAGATGAAAAAAAAACGACCACACAACAACCAACAATCATTAACCTGTTCCTGGACTTCAGGAACTGAACATGGTTGTCCCAGCTCAGTAATGAGGTAATTTGATAACATTCGTATCCTTCTGCCTTGTAGCAGCCATTTTTGTTTGATAGCGGCAAGACTGATAGCAAAGAGAGTAAAGCAACTGGTGATAGATAAATAATCCTACGCTCCTGTAAGGGGCTGTGTCTAATGATCCACAACAACGCCTTTCACAAGCTGTGAAGCAGAATGCAATCAATGATTAGTCCTTGATTACAAGCCTTAGCCTTACATCTGTATTTAACCAGGAGGAATTGCATTGTGGGAGCGTATGTGGCGTTCACAATAGAGTATAAAGCTGCATTCTTCTAACACTGCCATTAGGCTTTGACCTGTATCCTGGGTTGCCAGGCAAGCCAGTATAATCTTCCTGATGTGATGATGCAAATCACATGAAATTATAATTAAAGACAAAATAAAGACTTTTCCCTTGGGGGCACACATAATTGCCATATGGTTATTAAGAGTAATTGCTCACAGATAGATATATTTTTCCACTCATTTAAATTCTTGAGTCAGAGATGAGTAAATCCAAAAATGCTGCTTCATTCGCCTTGTAAACCATGACGGGAACTCTCAGACCTGAGACATACTCAGAAAATAAGACCTTCCATTAGACAAATCATATTTCCAGGAGTGCTGAAATCCCGTAAGTCACACAGGGACTGTAACAGCCTAGCACCTTTGCAAATTTGACTGTTTTATTGAAGGCATAAGAGTGGATTGGATTTACCAGTTTAACTAGAGGTATTTGCATTTGAAAAGTGTTGTCCAACTCTATGGAAAACTGATACCAAATGGGAATAGAGCATAGAAAAAATGAGTGTCACTAGGCTGCTAGTAAACAGCTGATCTCCTTTAAATCATTATGTCCAGATCACTTAACATGCTACTGCAGCTTCTTGAAGGCAAGACGAAGGCCAAACAACTTATTATCCAACTGGGGAGATAAAGTTTTCAGGTCATGTAGGTGGCCTCATTGAAAGCTCCTGGTTTTAAGAAAGGTTTGATTTTCTTCTGGTGTTATTTAACCTGGGTTAAATAAGGAAGATAAATAGGTTAGGAAGACCTAAGGTTCTACTATCAGCGCTGGCAGTTGTCACAAGAATATATTTTCACTTTAGTTAATGTCGGATTTTTTTTTTTCTCCTGAAGATAAATATTTTTCCTGTACGCTACGTAAAATCTAATGACTTCATCTAATGACTTTAAAAAATTTTCATTAAAAACCAGGTTTTTTCTTTTTTTCTTAACAATTCTAGCTTTCTGAGGGTGAACCTTAGGTCAAGAGTTACTTCATTTTTTCCTGTTTATGGCACTGTTCTGTATTTGCATTGCTTGGAAATGTAGAAAAGGAACAAAATGCAAAACTTCTGCCTGTTCAGGATTAAGGCACAGGAATCTATTTTTCCTAGGGCTTTTTAGTGAATGGTGGTATTCTAGATGGCATTCATTTAAATGTCAATGAGTTCATAGCCATAACAGAGAGAAGATAAAAGTACTGGGGATACACTTATGAACACGGATCAGCACCTGCAATTCCAGGAACAATATGAGATGGAGGAAATGGTAAGAGCATCCACATGTGATTCACCCTCTTGAGAAAGTTATGAAGGAACTCGCACCACATGTTGACACTGCGCTGCTGAGACCTTCTTCACAATTAATCACTTAATAACTGAATGTGTAAAAACGGGCTTCAAGATGGCAAATGCCAGTCTGCAGTTGCTAGGTATGTGCAAGGAGCAGCACTAATCCATTAAGAAGCTTTGTACAGGGCCTAAGATTTGTAAGTTCTTTGTGAGCATTTTGTGAAGAGCTTTCGGGAGCATTTTGTACAAGATGGATAGCCTGCACTTACCGCCTTCTCTGCAATCACTGTAAAAACCTGAGAGCTACAGAATAATGTCCCAGAAAGCTATCACTCTAAAGAGAGCACAGGCATCAAACACAGCTCACCCCTTCTTTGTGGTTTCAGGGAGTGTTTTCTCCTGACATGGGGTTTTGAAAAATTCAATCAGAGCTTGCATGAATAACGAAGAAAAAAGGTCACAGACTTTAGAAATTCTAAAACCGAATCAGACCTTGAAACCATTCTGGAGAAAGATATACTGGGGAAGGCAGGTTTACAGACCCGATACGCAACACCCCATAATATGCTTATCTGACTGCCAAAAGATCATTAAGAATTTTCTCAACATTCCTACAAAGTGTCAGTGGTAAATCTGGAGCTGGGGAAATCCCAATACAAAGGTGTTAATATAATGCTTTATATAATGGCTTTCCCTCAATTGATATTTATACTAAAATCTCACTAGAAATCATTAGTTTGGGCTTTAATACACTTAACTCCCTAGGGTACTCTGGAAATGGAAATAGGCTCCTAAACAACTTTGGTAATTTTAAGAATTTCATCTTAAGTCCTTTTTTCCATTAAATATCAATGTGAAAGCAAAATAATAATAAAAATAAAAATAACAACAATAACAATAATAATCTCATTTCATTACAAAATTACCAGACTCCTGATGGTGATGCTGCAGGTAAAGAGGTTCTAATTTAAAGGCACCTGTTAAATCTGATCTTTTCTTCACCCTGTATAAAAAAGAAAGCAATCAAATTGAGAAATTTAGGAATTACAATGTAAGGGATTGAGTTTCCACAAGAAATGAAGGCAAATTGTATGTGTTTAAACTGGCGTGTTTCCTGAGCACAGCCTGTGCCGTTTTCAGTGCTTTTTCACAGCCATATCAGTACTGTACTTACTAGGAACAGGCAGCATGACTGCACGACTGCATATTTAAAAACAGACAAGAAACAGACACGGAGGATCTTTTTATGGTGATAGACAGTCACACCAGAATGTGAGACTAGCTAAAGCAATGTTAATGTTTGCAGTCAACATAAGTTGCCTTGAAATTACTGCAGTGCAAAGTTGTGTGGGAAGAGCTGTGGCTTCCTAGGCACCGTGACAGGCAGCATGACTGCACGACTGCATATTTAAAAACAGACAAGAAACAGACACGGAGGATCTTTTTATGGTGATAGACAGTCACACCAGAATGTGAGACTAGCTAAAGCAATGTTAATGTTTGCAGTCAACATAAGTTGCCTTGAAATTACTGCAGTGCAAAGTTGTGTGGGAAGAGCTGTGGCTTCCTAGGCACCGTGCAGGCCTCGGTGAGGCTCTGTGGATGCTGGCCACCGTCTCTCCATCCTGCGGTGGTGACAGCAGCCAACACTGGTAGGGACGAGCCACCCAGTCCAGGCTCAGGCTTCCCTCTTGCACCATCCTGCCCTTAGCTGGCTACAAAACGCACTCTCTGACAGACACAATACAGCGCCACGTAGAAGTGCGAAGCTAGGGGGTAGTGTCACTGGACTGAGTTTCAAAGCCAATGTGTCCCTTTCAGAAAGAATGAGCTACATTTTGCCAGTGGGTAATTACAAGATTTGTCTGGTTTACGCTTTGCTCTATGCCTATGATTGACTCCCCTCTACAAACGATGGGGTTTATACAGGCAGAAAAAGAAGAAACCAGAAATCAAAAAGGGAGAGACTGCTACATAATTATATTAGGTCTACAAATATTTCACAAAGTAAGTAATAATTGTGTAAACATGGGGACTCTCTAAATGACAAAAGTCCAAACCCTTTATGATTTTCTGTGCATCCATTTTCTTATGTTTTTAACATTTTAATGTAAAATTCTAAGTACAAATCTAATTTCCAATATTTCAGTGTGAATGCACAGAGCAGTACATACTCCCAGTCTCATCCGCATCTCGACTATGCTCATAAAATAACTTGCTCAAACAAACAAAAAGCCCTCCTCTCACTTTAAAGGTCAGGAAAGTTCCAAGGTTGACAAAGTACCTTCCTTCAGGTATGGAAAGTACATAGCTGAAGATAAGGAAGTTAATGCCCATGAAAAATAACAAAAGACATTCAGAATGCTCTCAACAAATAAAACAACAAATTATCTATGTGTGTGTTGAAAATATCCTGTGGACAGAAGGAACCATTGTTAGGGTAGATATTGTGAACAAACTCTAAGTTGCTCTGCTGTAGTTTATTTGATATATTTGATTTCTTTGATATAGTCATGTCTTAGTAGCTCATTCCATATCCATCTAACCCAAGTTACAAGCAATATCATTAGTTACCTTGTGAGACCTTCATTCCTTCTCCTGTAATATGATGTGCTGAACAATGGCACACATCACTGTTCTGCAGGAACATCTGGCCACTTAGAAGCTATAAAAATGCTGTCATCTTGCACTTCCTTAGCGACGTTACTGCTTTTTTAAAAGATGGTGTCTGTTCCATCTGGGGACTTCACAGGTCTTAATCTGGCAACCATGAAAAACTATCTAAAAGGATTACTAAAATAAATCCAAAGCCTGGACATCAATGTATATGAACCAGTTGAGCTGCACCTTTATACACCATGTTTGGATTTCATCCGATGTATTTAAACTGCTTTGCAGTAAGTGCTTGTGTGGTCTGGCAATGGATGGAAGTGGTGTCCTTAACTTCCTTTGCAAATACCCCTGGTTGACTGAGGGATCCAGAATATATATTTCAAAAATGTAATTGATAAAATAGAATGTTTTTAAGGCTTGGTGCTATTCTACTAGACCTACTAAGATCCAGCTTGTGTAGCACAGATTCACATATTAAGTACTCATAATACAAAATGCACAATAAAAGTCCTGGTGAATAATGCCATGAACATTTGTGACAAGTGACTTACTTGGATTGCACATCTGCAGCTTTTTACAGCCTCACTCTATTATGTCCGTTTTAACTGACAGAATAACCAAAATGTTTATTGTTACCTATTCATATTATAAACCATCAGGAAAATTTCACTTCCATCTACTGATAACCATTTCCTATAAGCACCTTCCTTTCAAATACTAAAACAAGCTCCCCAACCAAAAGTTAACACTCAAACCCTGAAAACAGCAATAGAAAAGCAAAAATACCAAGACTTTGCAAGATGGTGATTTTTTCTCTCTCTGAAAGAAGACACTTTGGATTTTATAATATTCCAGAGCATCAATGAAACAAGTCAGGCAAAACTAACTAGTATTTTCAAGACAGAGTCTCTAAAGGACCCCAGCATTTGAACATGGAAAATATACCCCTCACGGAGTGGCTATATTACATTGCCTTTTATGGGAAAATGATTGCTCTTTTCTGTACACTGAGAACTCTGAGAATATTTTACAAAAGGTTTATAATGAAATTGCCTCCAAATCCCAAATGACATCAGTCTTACATGTTGCACGGAACAGTTCAACAATTACGTGACAGATCTAATGGCTAGATTATCGTAATCAACTTGCAGGGAAAAAAATGGGAGTGTTTATTGGAGAAAATGCTGGGGAGCCTGGGTGATTCAGAAGCCTAGATTTAGACCCATCAAATGGGTCTCAGCTTAATTTGATTCTGAAATGGTGTTCGCTGTTTATTGAACTCTTTCCATGTTATTACAATATCATGGCTAATACTTCCCATGGATCCCAAGAGGACTATGTATCTATCCTTCGCAGTCACTTTTTCTCACCAGTTTCCTTCATCCTTTATTATTACATTTCACCTTTTCAGGCAGTGTTACAGTTGATAAGAGAGGTGAATTTTGGATGGGCCTTAAAAGAAGTTGGACGATGGATCTGTCTATAGTCAAAGAGTTTAAATGTATACTTCATTCCTTCTTAAGTGAACAACACATATATAAATGCAGCCTGAATGGCTATTATTGTGAAACTTTCACTTTGAGTAAGGAGGGTTGCAAAGTCTTTTGAGATTCCTTGTAGTGCAATCTTCCTACCTACGAAAACAAACATTTATACAACGGCTTATTGAAAAAAAATATTTAAAAAAATCAAGAAACAAAATGGAGAAAAATACTTTCCTAGGTCTTTTCAGACAGTGTAATTGTATATGCCTTGTTTTCCTGGAAAGCCACGCAAAATACTTTGAACATAGTTCCACAGAATTACAGGTGAAAGCAGAATTAATGAGATATTAAACTGGTAGGGACTAGACTCTGCCCCTTATTGTCCTACAAACATTAAAAAGAACGATGATGCATTTCTCATTTCTGAGTGGCTGCTTTGTTAACAATGTCATGGAGTGATGAGAAAAAGAAGGGAGAAACTAGCAATGGAGTTTCATCTTCTCCCTCTTTCCATATAGAGAGACAGCTAGTTATGAGGTACTTATAAACTGGAGTCGTGGGTTAATCACTGCAGCTACTGATGAACCAGGATCAAACTGTAAGCTACTTACACCAAGAAAAAGAAAAATTTCATTATGCCTTGGAATATTTGAAGTGTCTACATAGGGAAAATTCTTAAATTGAAAAATGTAATGTATTTTCTGAATAATATACATGTTTGTGCAAAAAGTCAACTTTACTGAGTATTTTAAAAGAGCCAAAGGTTAACCAAAGGCAACTGAGTGAACACTCTCGCATTCATCCTTCTTTGAAACAAGGTGACATTTTCCTGGATGATGTATTAGTCAGTTCTTTTTAATACTCAGGTTTTCTTTTTTTTTTTTTTTTTTCAAATTTTGTTCTATTATAACTGAAATTAATATTTTCATTTATTTTGATAAACAGTTTGCATTTAATGAATAGCTGTTTTGCTAATAAGTATCATTAGTCATGACTGGTAGACAGTAGGTTCTGAAGATTCCAGTTTGGGACACAATAGAATCATCTATTATGGGATGTTATTATTACTGCTGTGATAGTTTGCTTTGTTTCAAAGTATGTCTTCTGGTTTCTACTTTGACATTTTTTTATAAAAAAAAGTAATTTCTGTTGTCATCTGGGGAAACTTAAAATCAGTACCATATTGCATAAATTGTCCTTTTTGAAAACAATTGCTTTTCACCAGCCAAATCCCAGGCATTTTTAGAAAGGCTTTTGAAAGAAACAAGGCTCTAACAAAAAGAAATTTTAGGGAGAGAAGAAAAAGGTCTGTTTAGCATGCTGTTCATTGCATTAACATCCTTAAATGACTTTTTTCATTTATATATTAGACTGCCCCAAACTGGAGCAAGTGGGAATGTGCAGACTTTTCAGGAATTCTCTCTCTCTCTCTGGAATATAATGCAGAGCTCAGGCCTATTTCTAAATTTTACTTTTTTGAAACTAGAATTGAATGAGAGTGAATTTTGTATATAATTTACAAAAGTTAAAGCTATCCAGAACTACTCCTTTTAACAGAGAAACATAAATAAATGTCTATGGCTAGAAAGGCAGACTGACTTGTGATTTTTGCCTCTTGTAATATTTCTTTTACTGTAATACTTACCACATAGCAGAACAGTCAAAATTCACTAGGAGCCATTTGTGAGGATTAAAGTTAAATGAATCTGCAAACTGAAAATGGATAATAAAAACCAGAATTATGAAAGAGAAAAGAACCCACATGCTAATGATACAGCTTTATCAAATTGTCTGAGTACACCTTAACTATGAACAAATTGGTGAACTGGGGCTTTATAGCTAATGTTCATGCTGATGTCACCTTACTCAATAACTATTGCAGTTGAATCTTCATTTCTTTGGGGGATTGAATTCAGGTTAGGTGTGTGGCTGGGCTATTGTTATGATCAACATCTTGAGCATTTGCTGACAATTACAATTTTTAGAACATCCATGGTAGCTCATATCCCAACTCCCAATAACAATTCACTAAGATTTCTATTTCCAAGAATATTAAACATATACACACAAAATGCAGACACAAGGACAAATGATATATGTAGCTCAGAATCCACATATCACATTCATTCATAAAATTACAGCTGACCAGGAAATTACTTTTTTTTTTTTTTACTGCCAGGGTATTTTCTTTTAGTAGAAGTCATTTTTTCATCTAAGTCAAAAGAAAAACCTACACAGAATAAGCATTCACAGTACATGTGAATAATGAATCATGTAAATAAAAATAAATCATGTAACAGGCCCATTTTACTTGACATATATTTAGGTGTGGCATCAGAGGAAACCCAGGTAGGTAAGACGGGCATCATGTGGGAAAGGCTTTGCCCGTGTTTTGTGTGTTAACCAAGGCAGAAGCCATCAGCCTTAAAAAGGCTCTGACAACTGCATATAGCACTTTTCTGTTCTCATTTCCTTCTCATAACCTTCCCTGTCACTTGTAAACAATTAACAATTGCTCTCATAAGAGGAGATTATCTGTCTGGCTGTCTATCTATCTATCCATCTAGCTAGCTATCTCCCTGTACTATGTAAGGTAGGAAACCTATTCTGGTTGTTAAATATTTACTCTTATGACAAATGCTGGCCCAGACAAGGGATGCTGTTTCATTTCCTTCAGGAACCAATAACAATAATTTAAAAAATATTCCCCCACAGGAAATTACAACAAGCTTCATTTGCTGATAAAAAAAAGAGAGACAGAAAGAAATTCATTGTTTGTGAGGGGGTTTTCCCTCCTTTTCTTCATTAGTCACTACATATCAGTGCTGTGTTTAAACTTCTGGCTTTACCAAACAGTAATATTTTCTCCACTGATGTGGAAGACAAGGACTTATCTGGCTGTCTGAGGGGAGCAGCAGGAAATTGAAGTATTCTTATCTAAGCAACCGAATGCAGAGTAGCTCAGCGAGAGGGGGAAAAAGGAACAGGAGTGCTGTTGGGGGAATATTTCATTTAGCTCTCTTGGTTATTAAACCCTGTCTGCTTGAGATAGGGTTACTGGCTGTATCCTATATGAATTTCAGGATGTAAGCAAAAAATCAGGCATAATAAGCTCATTAATTTGTTAACTATTTTTTCCCTCTCTTTTGTATAATGTAGAATTAGGGTGTTATAAACATGTCTTTGGATATTCAGGGAGAAGTTCCTCTTTTCTATTTTGTAAGACATTTTGTTGATTCATTACTACTTGCTAGTCCAAATGACAAACTTTTACATACTGTGGTAGCTTACATACTCCCAGAATAAATGATTAAAAAACAGAGAAACATAAGTAATGTTTATATATTACTTTTACATGAAGATACAGGGATCAGTAATGCAACTGAAGTGCCGTGTAGTCAGAGATTCTAGAAAAGCCATTAATGTTGGATGCGTAAGAAACACACAAATTCTATGGAAAAGCAAGATTTTAGCAGGCTGCTAGAGAAGAAACACTTAATTCACCTCCACTCCGTTTAAAAGATGCCTGAATTCAGGGCAGATGAATGCACTCCCAGCATAGGCTGCATCAATATGCATCCAGATATTCTCCTTTTTACCTAAAAAAAAAAAAAAAATTGAAGGGGAAATAAATTAAACCGAGGATTAAAAAGCCCTATTAATTTGCATGAAACCAAGTGCCTGCAAGATTTTTCTTTGATGTTATTATTTTCCCAATTTAATATTAAATTAAGAATGTTTCTACCACCTGGGTTTCCATTAATACATAAAGATGTATACATAACATATTCTTCTTCCTCTCCACTTCTACTGGAACAGAGTCCTTACATGTCTAGGTTTATCTTATTAATATTAAGCAATATTGTTGTGGTTTAGCCACATGATTTTGTTTTAAGAATTATTATAAAATACATTGTAAAATTATGGAGATGTAGTTAGTATTTCTATGGTAATAAAACTATCTACTTTAGCAGGAGGAGCTAGAGTTTTAGCTTAGCGCCCAACTCCTAACTCATGAATCACAAACACATGTTTCTAAACAGTATTTTTTACACATTGATGTATGCACATGTGCAGGCTGTGTGCAGCAAACTATTTAAAGGACTGAGGCACTTACGCAAGAGCACGGTTAAGAAAATGCTAGTTTTGATTAGTCACCAAATGGGTTTTGCAGAAATATTTTGGCATGAGTCTCTCGTATTCCCTGAAATGCCCTGTTTCTGCAGGAAGTCTTTGAGAGCAACTGGTGAAACACACATGATTAGTTGCTATACCTAAAAGTATTGTTGTCACTGTTTCATCCAGGCAGGTCTATAGGAAAAACCTAAACAGCAAAATAATCCCTAGCTGCTAAACAGACTACCAGGAACCTTTGTAGAAAGGAGGACTGGGAGAAAATGAGCCTCTGGGTCTGGTGTTGAAGGGCAGGAAACCTCCCAGAGCAATTCACCACCACACAAACCCAAAATGATTTCAGCCCCACCTGGATAAATTATCAGAACATCGAATGAGCCATGCTTCTATGAGGTTGCTTCCAGTTGCTTATAGCTATACATTTCCTGTTCTAAATGTACACTCGAATAGATACGGTGCACTTCTCTTGCATTGTCGTCAGCCAGTGTGTGTGCCTGACCAAGCCTTGCTGCAGATCAAAGCTTGACACAACACAGAGATACCACAGAGATACTCATGAAGAGTCCGTGGCTTGGTCACTGTATTAAACACCCTGGTACTTGTCTGGTTTTCTTGCAAGAGGAAGGAAATCGTGGAAGGATTAAGGAGAATACATGTGGATTTTTGGTGTATATTTTCCTGCTTTTCATAGTCCTTAGAATCAGACAGAAGCAAAACACTTGGTGCAGGGAAGAACAGGGAAGAATTAAGAGTTCAGCTTTTCCCTCATCTTCAGCACTACTCTAAATGTATTTGCAGGTAGAACGGCTTGAAGAAAAATGTTACAAACTGAAGCACTTAGGGTACTTTTTAACTGACAGTTAAAATACACCACCCCACCCCCCCAAAAAAAACCCTTGAGGCAATGGCCTCTGTACTCTTTAATGGTTTGAGAATGCAACCTTGCTGCTTGACCTAATATGAGAAAGAAATCTGTAACTGAAGGTCTTATCGACAAGTAGTCTCATTAAATTTGGACACTGACGCTGCGTAACGACCTGGAAATGACTCAGCGTGGCTTAAACTGGTATCTGCAATTTTAGAAAGTAGCAGCAAAGACTTACAAATAGGACCCAGTTCTAACAGTTTGTCAAAGGAGCAGCAAGGTGTGGTTCCAAGTGTTGCACAGAACTGCAGAACCAAAAAAACAAAAGCAAAAAAAAAAATTGTTACAGCAAGGAAAGGTATCAAATGAAAAAAACTTGTCTGCAAAGGCAACAAGAAACAGAGAGAATAGATGATATAGGGCAAAATACATTGATTTTAGCCAATACCTATCCTTCATTGGAACTTCGGGGAATCTAATTTTATTTTGCAAATCTGTCACAAGCGTCCATTGAGACAGATGCATAAAATCAAATGTTAATATAAAATTGATTGATAAGTAATGTAATATACTTACAGTATTACGTTAATGCTATATTTTATATATTTTCTATGTGTAATGCATGCTTACCATGTGGCCCAATGCTAACCTCACATATGCAATTTCCATCAAAATGATTTAGAGTTCATGGTACATAAGCAACCTCTGAACTTGAGCAACTTAAAGGTGCTGGAATTCCTGTTGACAGAATGGATCATAAAATGTTACTGCCAGAATTAAAGAGCCACTGCTCTGTAACAGACTTGTAACTGATGTGTGCTCAATGGATCTGTAGCCTGGGACCTGTTCACTGTTAGTTTTGCAAGATTTTTTCCCCAAAAAAACTTTTTTTCTCCCAAATTCATCCTAAAATACTGGAACCATTCTTTCTTCATTCTTTTAATGTCTCATTTAATGTATCCTGCCACATGACCAGTGGGCCAAAATCAGAGGCAACATAAATGCTGAAGTTTCACAGTAGAAAGAGAATATCACTAGGTGAAAATGAGCTATGGTGATTTACGGGGAATATGCAGGTAGAATTGTAACCCCCAAATCAACTACTAAGTGCATATAAACAGACAGGATTTTACTGTTAATTGTCCCACTTACATTTTAAACACCTTGTGAGATTTTGGTAAGCACTAGAAAAGGTGGGGTCTCGTTTTTGCCTTGTATTGGATTTTTTTATAATAAAAGACACTTTACAGTTTAAATAAGCAAATAAAGTACACTGGTTTTAGTTAAGAGTATTGAAGTAAAAAGGAATTAGATCATTTATCCCAGGTCACACATAAACTATAGTACAGCCAGGAGATGGCCATAAACATGTAAAATCCAGAATTTTGGCTTTTAATTTTTGTACTTCTGGTTACTTTTTTCTGCCAAGTACACTGTCAGTGAACTATCTTTTGCTCTCACTGTTTTTCCCTATATATCTGCTATTAGCCGCACGTTTTGTACGTGTGTGTGCGCAGGTCCCTCAGTGAATTCGTGACAGGACCTGTGAGAAGACAAAGCAACACCCGGATGATACTTGCCCCTCCACTAGACCTTTCAGGGAACAAACGTACTGTCAGAGCAAAACACAGATACATTTATACATTAAAACTCCATGGGGTGCACTTTTGCCTCACATCTCCACAGTGAGTAGGGCAGGGCTTTTGGGTTCACTGCTCTCCCTTGTAGCAGGATTGATACCATCAGGAAATGTTTCCAGTGGTTCCTTTCTCTGCACTGGACTTCTGTGGCTCATCCAGCGTGCCAAGTAGTATCTTCTGTTTCTCAAGAGCCTGCTTAGTTTGCCCAGTGCAGAAGGCCTTCCTGCTGTGCTAGACCGCGTCCTCAGTGAAGAGCAGCAGGCGGTGTGTCGTTGCTGCCCTGGCTGTGGAGCTGCCGCGGGATGGAGACATGCTGCCGTGCCCAGCCGGGAGGTGCAGCCCAAGTGTGTGGGACAGGGCGGACTTTTGGCCTGTTCTGTTACAGACATCATGATGTAAGCAAGGACTTCTGTAACAGTGGATTTTGCTCACGTTTACGTTACCTGGTGTGGCCTTACCTGCTTTCAGCTTTTAGTCTTTCCCTCTAGCCCAACAAGCTTTCTACTTCTGAGAAAAATAACTTCATGTTATTATGCCCGTAGCAATTTTTTTGGTCAAAATGCTATAATCTGTTTTAGCCTAATATCACATTTCACTTGCCAAGTGTATGCTCTTTTCTGTTTCTCTAGCTCGGACGTTCACATGCTGTCTCTCCTGCATTGCACTGATGTCTCGATAATTCTAGGAGTTCCTGTTACTGTTCATCAATGCCAGCTTTTTCAGGAGGCTCTTTCTTCCCCGTTATTTAAAATGTGATACGTATTTGCGCTCAGTATTCCTGCTCTAATGAAACAGACTGCTTGATAGCTACCAATATTTTACACTTTTATTTGTTCCCTTGAACACTCATCCTTATTCGTAAGTTGTCACCTGCTTTCAAGCGAGAGGTTTTATTGGCTTTTTTCCCTTCTACCAGCTACCGGATATTGGAGATTGTTACAGGTTATCTACAGTCACATCCTGAAGCAGGTCCTGTACACATCTCAGGACTAAGAGTTGGTTATCTCTCTCGGGGTACCCTAACTAGTCCTCCCAATTACTTCTCACAAAGTTTTAACATGTCTGTTTATCTCTGCTTTTCACATTTCGCATCAAGCTTCCCTTTTTTTCTTTTTTTTTTTTTTGTCTTTTTATTTATGAAATAAAGCAGCAACAGCACACTAGAAAGACCTGACATCCTGGAAAAGATAATCTGATTATGATACAAAGAATTAGATAAACATAATGGGATTTTTCATTTGCAGGTTACAGGTTTTTAGAAGATTCATGCGAAGTGAGAGACGGTTATTTTACCAGTTATTAGATTCGATCTTTCAAAATTTCTGAGAAATCCCACACTAACTTAAACATCCAGTAAAAAGGGCAGGTGGATATGCGTTCAAAAATCCAGAAATTTAAAATGGATCATCCCAAGAATATTGAACTAATTCAATAATCTATTGCTAGACAGATAAAACTTCTAAGTACACTTTTGAACATTTCTGCATCTATATTATACCATAAACATCAGAGATATTTTAAATTACTGTAGGGAGCTGAACTTTTCTGTTTAATGAAAAGTACTCAGGTAGTACTCAATTCATATAGATTTATGTACACTCATAGAGGAAGTCATATCCTGCCTTTGTATAGGGCAGACCTGATTAAATGTAGCCAAATAAAACCCTGAAAACATTTTATCCTTGACAGCACACATGTTCCCCCAACTCCACGATTATAGCAATGTTAAGAACTATAATCATGTTTCATTGCACCAATCATAAATATTGTCTATGGGAAAAGTTATTTTAATAAGAAAGGGACAATTCAGTACTTTTTCCATATCAAGCTTCTAAGAACCTGAGTTTGAAACAAATACAGTTCTGAAAATTAGAAGTACGTTGAATATATAGTTAAAAAAATCTTGCAGCTAACACATTTTTCCCTCAAAATAATCTAATCTTTATCTATACTGGGCCTTCCCATATTCCTGAGACACATGAGAAGAGCAGAATAATTACAGTGCCTTGAGGTACATTTACACATTTTCTGGAAGTTTAATCATCCATTGAAGGAAGTAGCTTTAAAAAGATTGCAGGATATTTTTTTAAAAAGGAGTACGTTTTATCCCTTTTTTTACTAGGAGGGCATGCATGTACGGAGTGAAAATGTATTGCATTATGGTCTACCTGAGATGTTCCTACAATCAGAGGAAATTTGCATTTCATCTTTGGCTGAACTACAGATCCACAGATTGGGTCACAAGAAATGGAAGATACCATGATGAAAATTCTAATTTTCCTAAATACATAAGGAATAGGGAATCATCCATTGGATTGGACAACACAGAATAAAGAGTGTACTTTAGACTTAGCTCTGCCTTTATACATACATTTTGTGATAATATGGTGTGGACTTTCTGACAAGATTAGTGTGGAATTATCTTGGATAGTCCAGCAATTAAAATAATGATGGAGATTTCACAGCAGAAAGGTACAGGTTATTCTTACTAGCATTGTACGGCAGTTAAAGCATTCATCTCTAATCAGGATATGGGGTATGTTGCTTCTATGAGAGATTATATTGGTTCAAACATATGCTCAGTTGTTTAAATAATGGCTTATTCTGTAAAGTATACCTCAGTTTCTAGAATAATTGTGTTGTCCTCTCTGCAGGTGTCTAAGCCTCAAAGCTACTTGTTTTAATTCTCAGAAACCACTTAAAGTGACAGGATCTGCTCTTGTCAGGACTCTCATTACCCCGCCTCAGTACGACACAATGAATCTAATTCAATTTGTAACCTGTACAACACAGGCAAAATCACATTTGTGCAAAGGGCGGGGGACAGGCTGCATCACAGAAATGGGACTCATGGCTCAGTATAGCCTGCAGGCCTTATCCTTTTCAGGTTGTGCACTTCAAATTTGACTCAGCCCTGGTTGAGAATACAAAGCAGCTAAAATGCTTGCATCAGTCATCTCATCTACTTCTTTCCTGAAATCAAGAGCTATGTCAGGGAACACGCGTGATTCTTTATGATGCCTGAGAGCAACGACTCTCAATCTTTTCAACTGGAAGACATCCTACAGCTTTTGAAGAAGACGCAGGCACATTTTGCCGTTTCACCACAAATGTTTTCAGTTGCAATTAACTAAAATAAAGCAACGCTTTTGACATTCTCTTATTATTTTTATTTTCTCCTATGCATTTTTTTGCCAGCTTGCACTCATGAGAATGTCAGTGGCTTGAAGGAAACTGCAACAGTTTACTAAACCACCATTCAGTATTTTACAAAACAGCAATCATTCACAAACTGCGGGTTAAGAAACATCGCCCTAGACATCTGCACATCTCTTGAGAATGCTTCTTCCAAATGGGAATCTGTGGTCAGGATCTAAGTGTTAACTTCTACTGAAAAGATGGGTCCTCTGTCAGTCTAATTCTGATTTATTGTTTCCTGAGTGAGTCTGGATACAAACAGCCTGCTTCTTAATATCCTGCAGATCATCCTTCAGAAGAGTCATTTCAGCTAGAATCGGGGAGATTTCACGCTGGGCCTTTGTTCAGCAGCGAGGCGATCACGTTATAGCAGCTTTGTACTGGATGGGGTTGTTGAAGTGTATTGTACCATACGCCAGCTACAACATATCAGTGGTGGTTTATGAAAGACGGCATGAAGCTCACAGGCCACTTCCACACATTCAAGCGCACTAGGCTTGACTGCAGTGGACCCTACGTCTGCATTTAGCAGTGCTTAGCTTAGTGGTGTCCACATTTGAGCATCCCGGTTGACATTCACCCAACGTAGAGGCCTGTCTCAAACTGGGATTGTAGGGCCCAACTCAGAAAGGCGTCTACGTATGTGCTTAAGCACCAGTTGGTGTTTACCTTTAGTGACATGGACATTCAACACATGCTTGAAAGCTTCCCCTGAACTGGTGGCCAGATAAAGGGCTGCATATTGGCCACACTTGGAAATAGGTCCTCGGTAAATCATGGCAACTTTAGTGCTTCAACACCTGACACAGTTAAGCGCTTTGTTTGCACAGTCTGCTTGCCTTACTGTATGAAAACATCCCTGTTCTGATTTCTGCAAAAGTATTTTAGAAGACACAAAGTAACACAAGTCTGAACTTAGAAATAAAGAAAAGGAAACAAAACTAGAGATATGGGTAGAGTAACAGGAAACAAAAGTAGAGATTGGCAAAAGCCTTCACAGAACAAAATGATACACGCATTACTAGTGCTAAAAGACATTGATGGTGGATAGGCATTCAAAGAATAGTTTTAAAGACAGAGGCCCTCCCAAAAAAAAAGCTGACTGCCAAAACCTATATATGGGAAAAGCGAACCTACAATTGCTATATTGCTGTAATGAGAGAACCTGTTTCACATTAAGCAAATGTGTCCCCGATTCTCCACTCACCTCTATAAGCAAAGCACTTCCATCAATTTCAGTATAATGATTTGTTAACTATAAGGGGAGAATCAAGCCCGTAAGGCATTGTAACTTACTTGTATTTTCTTTTTAATGCCCTAGAAACTTTTTTTTTTTTCCTAAGGGAGTCTGCATCAGCTGCCACCAAGATCTCTTCATTAGGAGTGATATAGCTGCTGTCTCTTTAACAGAAGAAATTCTGCCTGAACTTTTTGCTTTGATGTTGAATCACTCCCCTTAGTGAAGGATCAGTGAATACAGGGAGACAAGGAATAAAGTGGTGTAAGGTGTTTCCTTGGCAATGTGGATATCTGTCACCAGAACAAAATAAAATAGCACCAAATTACTCAAGAACAAAAGAAATGGAAAGGCTTTTGAAATCTGCAAGATGGAAAAGGGAGCACTAATACAGGGCATGGACTGCTGCTCAGCATGACAGAGAATTAACACACCTTTTGAGTTAAGAGGCCAACCATAAGGATAATGAGATCTAGTTTAATCTAAGTTGACATGTTTTATGTATACAAATAAATGGAAGATCTGGCACAGGCCATATTAACTCAGACCGAGCCTCTACTGCCTTTGAAAGCCTGTTTTGCACAGCTAAGCAAACAGAGGAAGAAAAACAACAGTTAAATCATCCTTTGTAAAGGTGTAACTGAATGCATAAACCAGAATTTTTTATTTCTTCTTGATAAACATAGAAAAATTAATCAGGAATTAATATTTATGAGGGGCAAGTTGCCTTTTTTTTTGTTAATGGACAAAAGGTGAGGAAAAAACACATTAAATTTGTTATTAGTTCATGGAGATGTGATACAGTACTGTATCTGTAATTGTTTAAAATTAACAGTAAGATAAAAAAGCAGAATCTTATATAAGATATTATGAGCTGGTACCATATAACAGAAAAATAAAACATGTCTTACGGCACATTTCCACCTTAATAGGTGCAGCCCAGAAATGAAAGTTCATTTAGGCAGCCTTATAGATGATTTGTTTCTCAGTCATCATCTTCTTATATTGGAAAGCAATTTATGGGATGTGCTTGTCATCCCAAGGACTTGCTAGTTTTAGGCAGGCTAGAAATTAGAAGCATTCTCCACATATGAAAAACATTTTTCACCCTTGTCATCCTCATGCTACATGAAAACAGACACTAAAGGTTAATATCAAGAAGAGCAAAACGATTACATTTTCAGAAAAGCTGGGTGAAATTTAAGCTGCCTTGTCCTATTTGGCACTTCTCCATGACTATAAGAAAGCTTAATCTGCTAATTCTTCTGAAAACAGTTGATAGAAATTTAAATCACTTTAGCCCTTTTCAAAATGTTACTACATGAAAGAAAATAAAATATCATAGTCAGAAATTACTTTTCTGAATAAAAAAATCATGCCATATTTTTGACTCTCAAAAAAAAATTCTAAAGTTATTGGTTTCTAAAATAGGAGGTTTCTCCCTCTAATTTTTCTTCAGTAGAGGCCACTAAAAACATATTATTGGTAGCATATTATACACCTTAATAGATCTGTACAGAACATGGTCTATATCAAGTTTTGTAGAGGCATAATGTTTGAAAATGGGGAAAAAATGTTGATGATGCACAAAAACACAACAGAGACTACTTATTCCATGAAAAAAAGGCAACTGGTAAAATCTTGCTTTAACTTGAAATAATAGGGTGTTCTGAACTAGCAGAAGGAGTAGATTTGATGAATAAGCATATATTCTTTTTGATCAGGCGCTTACCACAGTAGAACCAAACTTTAGAATTGTATCCAATCTAATACTGTTCTGTGTCAAAAACTGGGGGCATACGAGCTTTAGCTACTGAGATATAAACATCTGCATTTGCTGAACTGCTGCGGAAGCATGAATCTCTGGGAGGGAAAGTGGGCAGCTAACAAGCAATGATGACACTTTAAAACTTCCACAGCCAGATTCCCTAGAGCTCACCTGTTAGAGATAAGTCACACACACACAAATACCTGTCTGACGATGTCTGATCTTGCTGATACTGGGGGTATGTTATGGAGGTTGTTTACTTTGCTAAAGCAGTGAGGAGGAAAAACGATTTTTTTTTTCTTGAAAACACTTAAGTTTGAGACACCATCATTTAAATTATTGCCTTCAAATTGTTTTATGTGTAAATAAGTTAGAAACTGAAAAACAAAAGTATACCTTTGTAAAAGAGGCAGTTCGGAATTCAAGTGTTAGGAGTTTATAACATTGCAGATTACATTCCACTACAAAATTCATCTGCATTTATTCAACTGTCTAGTATAACTTCAAGCTCTTTTAAAACATCATTTTTGCTGATAAGTGCAACCAGCTGCTCAAATGTGTGGCTTATACTGCACAAAAAGGTGTGTGAAGAACACTCTTGGAAACCTGTCCTAGTATTCTAGCTAGGCTGCCTATTGATCCCTCTGTTAGGGATGAGATCATCTACCAGTGTCAAAAATAGCTTATCAGAAGCAATAAAACCACTGATTAATTAAAACCCAGTACTCACAAAGAATGGGATAAGACCAGAAGCTTTGTCTTCATCCAAAACTTTCTTTAGGGCTGAACCACAAACACTAAATGTCTCATCTGAAGGAACATTTTTAATCTTCACACCGCCTATTAATGCAGCTCTTTCCACTGACGAATGAGCCTACAAGGAAATGGGCAGGTTTTAAGACAGATACCTGTATTGGGATGTAAGAAGTTAATTTGAATTTGAAAACAAAAAAACATTTCTTTCAAATAAAGCAAAGTTGAGATGCTGAGGCTGATGCTGGTATATAACAGATATGTACCTCTCCCTCTTTCATATAGACAGGTGGATGGACACACACACATATATATACATACATCCATACAAACACGCACCCATGCATGCACAAATACACTAATAGAAACCCTGAAGTGTTCTTGAAACCATTGCCAAGGCATCATTCAGATGAGTTCAATTAACCTTAGTGAGAGCTTTAATTAACATGTTCACAATTAGGTAGGATTGATTAAGAGCTTCAGGATTTGGCTCCAAATCAACCAAAAGACATGCAGCTAATCAGCTTGCCTGATAATGATTCAGTTGCTCACTAGTGTATTTTTAGGGTGTATAGCTTTGCTGAACCCTAAAACATGCACATCATGGTATGGTATAGACTGAGGTATTTTCTTACATTACTTTTTTTTTTAGATTATCTCCTGAATAAATTGAATTAATTGATTCATGTTGGTGGGTACTTAAAGATCACTCCCAGTATTTTATTTTATTTATAACCCATTTTATTTTAATTCCCCTGAAATAATATATTTTAGAATATAAAGTACATCTCAGTAAATAAAAACAAAGGTATCACTAAGAAATTTGTATAAAATTGTGAACTACAATCCTATAACAACCCTATCAACAGTAAAAGGTATGTTTAGCCACAAAGTACTTTCCCTTAGGGTGTGTCTTAAAATAAAATTAAAAAAAAAAAACCAACCTATTTTTACTGTCCACCCTCTACAATTTCATTGATCATCATTAATTTGAAAGAGAAAAAATCCTCACCTTTTCATATTGTGATTATTCTTATTCATAATCTCCATCCTACCCTAGTTGTTTCTTGCTGATTTATACAAGAATTGTAAATAAGCAAACAATAATAACACACTGGGTTTGTTCGCCAGTCAGAACCTCAGAATTCCTTCCTCAAGTGTCCAAAATCCTAGTAAGGTTCTCTGATAACATCCACAGTTTTATGGTTAAAACTGCCAAGATGCTTTTGCATTATAACAAATCTTTAGTGACCTGCTGATCCATAGAATTCCTAGTCCTCAGCAAAGTACTCGGGGAATCTCCTACCATATTTGAGAAGAGCAAGGAACCAAACAGAAATCAGTGAAATGAGTGTGCAGCTGCTTGAGGTAGACAAAGAAACATGGCAAAAAAAGGTTGATGAAGGGAATAGCCTGAGAAAATTTGAGAATATAAAAAAATTATGCTGACTTCTGTCCTAGTCCCAGTCAGGTGTCTACTGTCAGGGGTAGCTGGATGCTCCTCTCAGCTCTTATTCAGTGTCCCTTGCAAGAGGAGCCTCAGCCCAGGCACTAAAACAGACAGGGATCCTCTTCCATAACCTCCAAACCCCCAAGCAGCTCCTGGGGAAAGCTTTTTTGCCAGTCCTGCTCAGTACTCATTAGCACAAAGCAAAATTATTTCAATAATAAATAACTTTTTACCCCCCTCCTAGTGCATCCTTGCAGTGTTGTGCTCCATGAGTGCATGGTTTTCCCTCACACAGAATGGCTTAGGCTTACTTTCTATTGTGGATTACTGCCTGTGAGTCATACAGGTCTGTTCTTAATGCAGAAGGACTGGTGAGCTCTGTAACAATCTGCTTTGAAAGGTCAGCAATATCTTAAGGCAAATCCTCCCGTAAACATAAGATCCTCTGACCTTCAGTGGGCGGGAACGCCTGTCAGTCCTCATTCCAGGTCAGTCGCTTATGTGCGACAGAAAATGAAAACAAGTAAAAGGCTTTGTGCATCACTGGGTCAGAGTTAGAGCTCTTGGGACTGGCAGCCTGTGCAACACAGACCTTAGGGTCTCAGATAAAAAAAGGAAAAATATCCTTTATGCCTTTTGAAAACAGTTATCTTTCCTCACATTCTCCTGTCCTGACTCGTCTTACCCTACAAGTGTAGTCCCTCTCCCCACCAGCAAAGAGCGAGTGTACTTTTAACTTGTTTTCCAGTGCTTTTGAACATACACTTCATAGTCAGTCAAGGTAAGGCTGAAACCTGGTCATTTTCTTCTGCATAATCAGGTATTACTTTAAACTAAACATCAAGTGCTAAGGAAGTTTCATCTATCTCATTGACATTTAGATAAGAAAATGTCACGGCTATTGAGAGGAACGGCACTGCTTGCCCCTTCAGTAGGATTAGTGTGTCAGAAGGTAGCAGCAGCAGAACTCACAAGACTAAAATTTACATTGATAATCAGTAAAGGCCTCTCACGGTCCTGGCCTGCTAAGAATTTAGCCTAACCCAGTCTGCTAAATACCACTCACAGTCAGAAATCAAGGATTATGTTTTCTGTTTTCTTAGAAGATTTCTCAGCTGGATTGATAAAGGGAGACCTTTGGAAGGGGGTTTTTTTCTGTTAAAAAAATAATAATGTTTTGGGCTTCTTCAAATACTATGACCAATTTGCTTTATATTCATGCACTAGGTTTGTCGGTGTGCATGAACCAGCACCCATGCGGGCGTAGAGGGGGAGGAGGTATATGTGTTTGCACATGTGTATGTAGGAGGAAAACGATGTGTGCACAAATGGACACGAGCCTAGATGTAACAAAAACGGCCTAGACTTACTCAACACAACTGAAATTAACACCTTACTCAAGTATCTTTATTTACTTCAAAGAGCTCTTTCCGTAAAGAAGCAACACTGACCTCTGGATATATCCTTCTTTGTATTATGGTAGCACACACGAGATTCCAGCTCACTTACAATGTACAATAAGATTTAAACAAGTAAACCAAGTAGTCACCAATCTGGAATTTGTACTTAATTCAGCTGCCTATTGAGATGGCTCAAGCTGTTAAGTATAGACCCCATGTTTTCATGGTTTCGAGAGGTACGCACCTGATCAGAAGTGTAGGCCACCAGCCTGCCCATGATGTCTGCTTCTGTTAGCTCAGGCTTTTCAGACTGCACCCGTCTGATAGTTTTTGTTCTTGCAGCAAGCAGTGAAATCAGTGTGGCCTCGCTTGCACTTCCCTGTGGGACAAATTTAAAGGAAGGTTCAAAAGGAAGAAGAAAAGCAACTTTTTTGTCTCTATTGTATTTGGTTTGAGTGGCAAGGTTTTAGTAGCGGAGGGGCTACAGGGTTGGCTTCTATGAGAAGCTGCTAGAAGCTTCCTCCATGTCCCACAGAGCTAATGTCAGCTGGCTCCAAGACATCCTTGCTGTTGGACAAGGCCGAGCCCATTACCGACAGTGGTAGCACCTCCAGGATAATGTGTTTATGGAGGGAAAAAAAAGAACTGCAGCCAGAGAGAAGAGTGAGAATATGTGAGAGGAACAACCCTGCAGAGCCCCAGGTCAGTGGAGAAGGAGGGGGAGGAGGTGCTCCAGCACTGGAACAGAGATTCCTGGGCAGCCCGTGATGCAGACCATGGTGAGGCCAGCTGTGCCCCTGCAGCCTGTGGAGGTCCACAGTGGAGCAGTCCCACCTGCAAGCTCATGGAGGACCCTACACCAGAGCAGGTAGATGCCTGAAGGAGGCCTTGACCCCATGGGAAGCCCACACTGGAGCTGGCAGGTTTGCTGGCAGGACCTGTGACCCCAGGGGGACCCAGGATGGAGCAGGCTGCTCCTGAAGGGACCCACGCTGGATCAGTTCGTGAAGAACTGCAGCCTGTGACAAGGGCTCACATTGGAGAAGTTGGTGGAGGACTGTCTCCCGTGGGAGGGACCCCACGCTGGAGCAGAGGCAGAGCGTGGGGAGTCCTCACCCCAAGGAAGAAGGAGTGGCAGAGACGACGTGTGATGGACTGACCACAACCCCCATTCCTTTTTCCCCTGTGCTGTGCAGGGGGAGAAGCCAGAGAAATGTGGAGCAAAGCTGACCCAGGAAGAAGGGAGAGGTGGAAGGAAGCTGTTTTTAAGATTTGGGTTTAGTTCTCATTATCCTTCCCTGATTTATTGGTAAAAAATCAAATTGATTTTTTCCCCAAGCTGAGTCTGTTTTGCCCATGACCATAACTGGTGAGTGTTCTCTCTCTGTCCTTGTCTCGACCCACAAACTTTTTGTTGTATTTTCTCTCCCCTGCCCAGCTGAGGAGGGCAGTGACTGAGCAGCTTTGGTGGGCACCTGGTCTCCAGTTGGGGTCAACTCACCACGTGTATGAATCTGCAAAGTTATTGCGTATGAGAAACTGTGCAATCTTATGCTTTTTAAGAATATGTGTGACAGCAAGGGAGGAATCTCTATTTCCTCTTGGTCTCCTCCTTCCTGATGCCTGTCTGCTCCCTTTAATCTCTTGTTCAGTTTAGGAACCAGCCTAGCAGTCAGTGCTAGAAAGCTCACACACTGAAGGGCATGTGAAAAGGCTGGTCTAGAATGACCAGCCGTCAATAATCCGTTAACCAGGAACAGTGGGAGAATAACTGTTGATTTCTGTTACTCTGTATTTCCTCACATTTAACTTCCATCAGAATCTGACTATCAACTCTCAATTCTATCAAGCAATATGTGTAATTATAACGCTTATTTAATATTTAGTTACCCTGGGCAAGTCAATTTTGTGGCTAAAAGAGAAAAAAAACACTGAAAAAGCAAAAAAGCTATGATTGAATATAGCTAATTGCATTTCGAAGTATTGGTTATGTGCCTTTTCTTCATCAAAACCACACAGATTAAAGGAACAGCCAGACGCTATTTCTAAACTGCACTTTGACTCACAAAACATGAGTTTAAATTGTGTCTTGGATACTCTGTGACACCAAAGAGGGGAATTTTTTGTGCCAATTGATCTGTAAATTTCACAAGAGAATACAAGTTCCCACAAAACCTTTTTATGGTTTTCCTCTTGAACAGGCAGACAAAACATGTCCTGAACTGTTCTTTTAAACTATGAGTAATGGCTTGTAAACACATGTTCATAAATTTCAACAGTTTTGGGTGTCCATACACAAGATCGAGTTTTTAGGTACTTTCAAAGTTGGATCCTTGCCATGTGAATCCTCCTCTACCCAGCACATAGGGGTGCGATGAATGAGTCGCGTTTATTAATGCCTCAGAAATACCCCCAGTGTCAACAAGCTAATTTTGGAGTGATATTTCTTACCCTGTACCAATGATCTATCCTCCCTCTGTTGGACACCTGTGTATACTAACTAATTACAACAAATTTGAAATATTTGGGAAGTCTTATTTCTTCCCTGGAGATGGGCCTGGTCCTACGGATTTCATACATGAGAAGGATCCCAGTGAACTCAGACTTTCCCCTAATACTGAAGTTAGCTCAGCTATTTATATGAGACAGAGCTGCCTCCTACACAAGTCAACATCTCAACAGTGAGTGAACTCTTTCAGCTGAAATTCAACAGCCTCATGAAAGGAGTAAGCAGGAAAAAGGGCAGTCCCTAAAGATTCACTATTGCCATGGCGAATATATTTTATCCGCCTTTTCAGTGGTGTGGGATTTGAGGAATGTAGGCCCCAGGGTCTCCATCAGAGCACAAGGATGAGCTGGAGACAGCTGTATGCATTTCTCATTGCTGCTGCTGCTGCATACAGCAGTATGGCAACTGAGGGAAAGATTGCAGATGCATAATGGCATAGGAAAACAAATATCCCTCTTGAGTTGTGTAAGGTAGAACCTCCATGTGGAGGCAAGGGCTGAAAGAAAATCTGCCCATTAATTACAGAAAACATAAATTGGCAATCTCCCCATCTCCCCATTTGATCTTATTCTGCATATGGTCTGCAACCAGATGTTCAGGGTACTCATCAGAATATCTGAACACCGAGAAATCATGCCTGCCTGTAGTTCTCAAAACTCATGAAGCAAGAGTGAGTGCACACAATTATCTTCATTTTACACATAAAGAACTTTCAAGATCCGATTCACTTTACTTTAGCTGTCTAAAAAGCTATATATGTGAGAAAAAAATTGTTTAGAGTCCCTTAGTGTGAGAGGGGTAAGCATACCCACAAAGCAATATTCCATCTATTTTAGGCAAACATTCTGTACTGAGATAAATGATTCTATAAAGGTACCTTCTTGTATGTTCACCTTTACTTGGCAAAATGTGAGGTTAATCTCAGACAGTGTAAGTTTCCTGATGAGAAACTTCTGTCATCGTGTCTCTGTTTGCAAAACTGTTTCTGCCACGCTCAGTGCAGTATTATCTAAGTAACAGTGAAAAAAACCCCAAACCCTGTGCTTCCTGACAGTCCGGTGAGCTAGAATATAATGACTCAGGCACTGGGCGTCCAGCAAATGTGAAGAATGTTTTACAGTCAAGAACATCACCTATTTTCTGAGAAGCTGGGGTTTTTACTATTTTTTAAAAAAGCAGTATATAACCTTCTAAAGAACCCTAATGGCATAATCAGAAGACATGGGCATATATTATCAGGCAATGTTGCCTGAAATACCCCTTCCAGCCATCCGGCAGATGAGAATGCTTTTCATTTGTGCAAACCACTGCAGCTTATTGTGATGTTCATACAGTTTTTCAGGTAAGTTGTACATCCTCATAGTGAAGTTGGGCAACGTAAAGCCTGTGTGAGAGACCCAATTCCATCTCATATCAGGCAAGTCACTGAAAACAACCTTTCTAAACCTGGGTTCTTCACGGTAAAGTTAGCTCTAGCACCTTGGCATTTAATATGTGGGAAATAACATTCATTATTACTTTTATTAAAATATATATTTAAGGAAAATCTTTCAAATGCATGTGGAGAAAATGGTGCTTTTTTTTTTTGTGTAACGATAAGGCCCTGTAAAACTGTTAGTGTCTTTTCAGGACACACAAGGAATATGCATATTTAAATAAATGTGCACAAATATGTAAAAGAAAATGGCTGTAGGAAATTCCAAAGGCTAAGGCCTTAATTTGAGCTCTGGAAATTTAAGCCCCCACTATTCTGGAGACTGCCTGGCTGGGCAGGCAAATGAGTTAGGCTCAAGAATAGCCTCAGCCTTCTGAGGAGTGCCACGAGATGTCCTGGTCTCTAGGCTGGTGCATAAAACAGGTCTTGTATCCATTTCATAGAATCACAGAATGGTTTGGGTTGGAAGGGACCTTAAAGATCATCTAGTTCCAACCCTCCTGCCATGGGCAGGGACACCCTTACACATGAACAAGGATGAAAAGGAAAGGGCCTGTTTTCCCAGCTGAACCTTGCCTCCTGATATACAGTTGAGACATACACTAAAGGCACCTAAATCCAGCAACTTGGAAATGCTTTTGGAGGTCTCATGATAGACATAACTTTTCCCACCTTGCCTCAGTTTCCATAAATCACCTTTTTTATACTGAAGCTTACAGTGTTTGCAGAAACTAGTTTGTAAGGATCTTCTGTTCACTTGGGACCAATCTTGCGCTTAACATTTTTGAGGAAAAAAACCCCTTTGGTTCTTGAACTACTTGGCTAACTGACAAGAGAGAGAACTCAGCAGTGTTCCTTGCCAGGCCAAAGATAGGCTGAGTCGCATTTTGTTTCACCCTTAAAATAGTTTTCCTTTGCAGAGCAAGACAACTCTTTAAAATTCAAAATAGGTACATTTTTAAGCAGTTTATCTAGAATGAACAGCAGGAAACAAGCTTCAGGAAGAACGTGGCTTTCTCACTTATTTTTAAAAGCTGGGGTTTTTTTCTCCTCTTGAATGCTGCATTCTGCATTAAGTGAAGGATGATGATACCTTTCCTTTTACCGCAAGCAAACAAAGGTTGCCATGGCAAACAGGCTCAAGAGGCGGAAGAAATATCAGCAAGAGCTGATGTTCATGTCCACCAGAGCTCTGAACTGAAATTTTCTTTCATCTCCTGCCATTTTCAAGTGTCATCTTGCACACAACAACAAAGTGCTTCGTATTGACATAGACTTTCAAATGTAATTAAGAGCCAATTTTCACAGGCTCAGTTTTACCCAATGCCACAATAATTACTTGGTATTTGCCAAGAGAATGACTGGCACTTTCACACGCTCATGTTGTCTTTGCCTCACACTCCCTTATTTGTATCATTATTGTTTCAAGAGCAAGACAAGAAGATCTGCAGCACAAATGACTTCATTGTAAGCAGGAACACAGACCCCATTTTGGATTCTTGAAACTGACTGGTTTCTGATTAAAATTATGGGCGATCCAGTATTGTCAGCCTGGAAAGGGCAATATTTCCGCCTGATAAGCATCAAGCGTAATTGCTTGCTTTCACTGGTACAAAATAAATACTGCTGAGACGCATGAGGAAAGCCTGATTTCTTGAACATAACCCCCTCCCTAGTAATGGTAATGGTAGAGATCCTAACAAAGCAAGCAGATGAGTAAAGAGTTACTCTGGGAATACACTGGTGTAGGTGCAGCTCTGCCTAGGAGAATCATAGCAGCTGGATTAAATTCATACTTGCCTGGGAAGATTTTGGGAAGAATTCATTGGAATATGCTGTAGGCATTTGCAGCTGGGATCAAAGAAAGAAGTCCCTACTTCTAGCTTGTCATTTAGATGTATTTTAGAAGCCCATCTTAGGATAAAATGGATTGTGCTCTGGCCACCAATGACCAGACTGCAGAGATTATCAGAGGAGCACATAACAATTATTTAAAACTCAGTCTTTTTTCAGAGCAGAGATCTATTTTAGTAAGATTGGTAGCTGTGACCAGAGTCTGCATTTACAGAAAGACCATGCACTAGTGGAACCATGTCTGCCAAACAATATATCTTCATTATGAATGCAAGTTTGCCCATTGATGATATGTCCATTATTATACAGATACTCTGTTCAGACACTGTAGGCTTCATTAAGCAGTCAACGTCAAAATTTGGGGGTTTTGTTTTATTTTGGATACTGCATTGTAGTCTGAACATTGCATTGTCTACTGGTAGAACCATTTAGTAGGCGGATCTTCATTTTATTATTATAATATTCCAATATTTCATTTTGATATAAGACAAAGTTCTTAAAATAATTTTAATTTCTTTGATAAATATTGATTGACTTTCTGCTACATTCTGTAATTTCTACTTATAGAAGATTCTCTCCTCTGTTCTTATACATTGCTCGATCTCTGATTTCTTTTTTCTGAATAAAGGAAGGCTGTTTTGGAAACTGACTGAAATAAACAAGTGCACACATGCAATGTGGTCTTCATGGAAGCTTCTGTAACCACTTTTCATGATGCTGTACTCAAAATCCTTAGATGTCCTTCTATTTGAGAAGTTTATTTCTATTTTCAGCCACTGTTGGTACGTATGAGCTCTCTTCACTCAATCAACAAATTAAAGTTTCCATCCTACATGATTTTTTTAACATTATCATTTGAATTTTAAGCCCAAATTGTACTGTTAAGTTGAACTACTAACAATTCCTCAAAAAGAAGAATGTTTCAGAATTCAGCTGCTCTGAAAACAAAATCATCACCTTCATGAATGATCCTACCCACCGATGGACATTCTCACAGAGCATCAGTCTTTCTGAAAATCAGAAAAGAGCCCATGTAGCAGAAAAAATATATCTTTCCTTTATTAGTGGGCTGGTTTTAGTTGGGACAGAGTCCATTTTTTTCACAGTACCTAGTATGAGGTTATGTTTTGGATTTGTGTGAGGCTGTGTTTTAGATTTGTGCTGAGAAGAGTATCGATAACGCTGGTGTTTTTAATTGTTTCTGAGGAGTGTTTGTAGCAATTCAAGGACTTTTTCAGTTCCTGGTGTTCCTGACTTCTTTGCTACAGGAAGCTGGGAAGGGACACGGTCAGTACAGCTGGCCCGGACTGGCCAAGGGGGTATTTCATTCCATAAAATGTCATGCTCAGTATATGGTTTGGGGGTTGGGCTGTGGGGGAGGGGCAGGTGTTTCTCTCTCTTGGGATCTGGCTCTCACTACTGAGGGACTGGCTGGGCATCAATTGGTGGGTGGTGAGCAGTTGTAACGTTTGTTTTCTTTTCCATTATTTTCATTATATATTACTAGCAGCAATATTAGTAATATTAGGTGTCATGATTTTATCTCATTTACTTTCAATTATTAAATTGTTCTTATCTCAACCCACGAGTTTCCTTGCCTTTTCCTCCAATTCTCCTCCCCATCCCATTGAGAAGAAGGGAGCTGAGCAAGTGTCTGTGTGACACTTGGTTTCTGGCTCGGATTAAACCACAGCAATTAGTGTTGTGGTATGAAGGTTTTACAAAATCATAAAGCCCACAAACTCATCCCGTATTCTTTTTTTCATGTCCTCTCTTACCTGAATGACTCCTCCCCCTTGGCCATCCTTCCCAGCTAAAAACTCTTCAGGCAGATTAATCATCTTCCCTAGCCAATCCAGCATGACAGTCTCCAGCTCTGTGCAAGCTGGACTTGCAGCCTGTGATGAAAAATAGAACAGAGGGAATAACCTCACTAGACCATGAAGAGAAATAGGATCTACCAGAGAAAGAATAACACTTTCTCTTTCTCTCTCTCTGTCTTTTTACTACAGAGGAAGAGACCAGCTGACTAACTTCACCAGCTAAATCAGGGACCTGAAGACCATTTTATGCACGTTGTTTCTAATACTTACTAAAAAAATGTCAAACTGGGCCTCTCACAGAACCATGACTGTCAAATGTCAAAGCTGGGATTTGCATCTTATATATTTTTTTTCAACATTTAGTACCAACCTCTTTTGAGAAGAGCCTATCTCATAGAAATGTGGGGGTTTAAACACAATTTTCCATTCATCCAGATGATAAGAGAAGTAACAACACCAGGTGATAGGCAACAGTCATACTATTTAATGAATTGTCAGTAAGTCTGCTCTGCATTTCCAAATGCTGGTGATTTTTAAAGGGCAAAACTTGGGAAATAGCCTTTTATCCCTGGACTCCTTCAGGATGTCTATGTGAAAACACTTAATTAGTCAAGGAACTTTACCTGTAAAAATAGTCCCATGACTTCACTGCTATTAATCAGTAATTTCATTGAAGAATGTTACTAAAATGCTTCAGATCTTGGTCAGGTGAAGCATCATTACCACATAGCAGCACATACCACAGTAAACTTACCCAGGAGAAGCCCACACATCCTATTCCACCACACAACATATCTGCAAGAAGGGCTGGGAAGGAAGAGGCTGCAGGGAAGTAGGCAAAGAAGTAAGGACTGTGCCAGTGAGTCACCTGTATTAAGGGAAAAATAGTCATTTTTAGCTAATGCAGGAAACGGAAACAAGTTGTCACAAAATCAGAAAAGATTAGAGGTTGGGACTAGTCAACAGTCCTCGACGACCTGGCCATAACACAGGATCCCACTTTTTAGAAAAGCTTACCTTGTTTTTTCTCAATTTTTTTATCTGTATGTTACTCAAATTAGAAATAGATTAGTTCTTATGCCCACCTCCCAAGAGTTCCAAAAACAGCGCTCTCCCCGTCTGCCAAAAGACAAGAATTGCACGGGCGGCGGCAGGATGGGTTTCTGTGTGGGGCACTGTGCTTGAGCCTCTGCTTTCAGGGACTGTCCAGTATTTTGTTCTTTCATCTCTGCTGTGTGACTGACTCAGCAAGCGCGTCTTCAGTGCAGCAGAGGTCCACAGAACTCTCTTGCCCACACGCTGGAGTTATTTGCCAAAATTCAGGCACTGAATCTGGCCAAACAGCTCCCCACCATAAAATGAAACAATCCATTCCAGTATCCAATACCTTCTGTAGAAAACTAAACTGTCATCTCCCTATAACAAGTGATTTCTGTACAATTCCACTTTATATGTACTTATATGAGAGAACAACACAATAACTGCACAAATTATAGTCAATTGTCTTGCAGCAGGAACATTTAGCATTATCTTATGCAATCTCTAAGCAATTTTAAGGGTCTGTGAGACACTTGATAGTGCTCCACAACTCCAATCTAATAAAATTTGAAAAAGGAAATGTACTGTCACACTGCAATGTTCAGTGGAAATAATGTGATATGATATGTTTGGCAAAACCAACTTTCACATTCAAGATAAAAGGCAAATCTTTAGAAAAAAAATGCTTCTAGAGAATTGGGCTATAAGGAAGTATTCCGCAGAATATGTGTATCTTTCCTTGGCTGGAAATCCAGAGGCTGCTGAGTTATTGCAGCCTAGCCTTTTCTTATGCTGTTTTGTTTTCTTTTTTGAATAAATATGGAGTTCTGCGTCACAACTAGAGGGTGGCAAGAGCATATATTCCCTCTTGCCTGAGAGCAGTGTTCCCTTACAGTGCTTTTTGTTCTTCATTCTGAGGAATTTCACCTTTCACAATCCCCTCTCTCCCAGTCTACGATAAGGTTTCATGCACTGTAGCCAACGCAGAGATCGCTGTACCATGCTGTTCTGCATGCTGCAAACACCCCTTTATTTTCTTTTCTAACCTCCTGCATGCCAACAACCAGCTCTTCTTTAAGGGACACGCTCCATGCTAAGGGGAGACTGTCTTAACTCTTGATACACAATGAATCCCGTATCACTTTCTCTGCTGTAGGATACCATGTAAAATATTTCGGATGCTCCCACCTCTTTCATAAGGAAGCAGTTCCTATCAGCTACAATTTTCCACTGTCTGAACTAACCCTGTACCTGATATGCTCAAGATTTCACTTTACTGATCACTAGGTCCAAACCTGCTCAAATCAGGTACCCAAAGACAAGCCACTGCGAAAATTTTTAGCAGTATCTCTTCCACCAGGTCAGGATCTCTTTCTTCACTCTAACAAAGTTTTAGAGCACTTGTGGCAAACACCTTCCTTCACACGTCAGAAGAAAGAAAAGAAAAAAAAAGGATGGGACTTGGTTCTTCATAGGAAAACAATAAACAGATTAATAAATACCCAATAAACAGCGGTCCCTGACAGGACACACATGCACAGACTTTCACTGACGTCCCTAATGAGCCAGAGCTGCCACTGTTCATCTCCCCAGCTCTAATCCTCTGTGATCTTTAAGACTTGTGACATTCATCTTGGGTTAATCAAGTTAAACTGCCTACTTGCTGGGAGCCATTGGTTTGATGAAACGCAGCAGATTCCAGTTGCACCACTCACACAAAAAGCCAAAAGCCCTAAGGCAAGTGCAGCTGCGGTTCTTTCTCCCGCCTCCCCTTCCCCCTTCCCCCAAAGCAGCTGTAAAATCCATTTCTTTCACCGTGTTGGGGGACAGACACACTTAGTCAAATGTTGCAAAGAGTGTGACATAATTGTTGATTGTTTTTTCAGCCCTCTGCTGATAAACAGTGATACACAAGTGTCTTGGATTCAGTAACTACTACTCTAATGCTTCTCGGAGACATTTCATTTCCCAGATTTCTCCTAAGAATGTCTGTCTTTCTGGGGCTTGATTAGCCTAAGCAAGAGTCTTCCTGTGCCACACACCAAGGATAGGTACTTCAGCTGAAAGTTCATAGATTAATGGATCCAACGTGAGGAAAATTAGCATTTTCAGTCCTGCTATTTGCAGTTACAACTAAACTTGATCATTTTTGTCTCTGTCTCTAAAAAAGGAGGAGATAGATTTCAAGAGAAAAGGCAGGTGTGCGAGAGAAAGGTGACTCCCACGGATATTTTTACACGCAGTTGGTTTCCACCTTGCCTTCCTGCTGTGGAGATTGGAGTTCGGCAGTTGTTCCCTCAGTCCCTGTGTTAATGTTAGGAGCTTAGCACCACTACAGTCATTATATTTAGTGGACTGCCCTGTGACGGTCTGCATCCAGTTTCACAAGACGTCTCCATAAAGAGGCTTTTTGCACTCGTGAATGCTTGTTCTCCTTTGGGTAAAGACAGCAATGGGCCCTGCTTTATTGCTTTACACCAATTGATCCTTGCTCCTCTGAAGGAACACCATTTTCACATATCACCCAGTAAATAGCGAATATCTGAACAGTACCGTAAGTAGCAAATATCTAATACAGTAAAGATGTTAACATGAAGGAAACAAGAGTCCCGTATGGGCCACGGATAACTTATGGGCAAAACAAGGGTTTATGACCTCTGTCATATTACTTATTCTCGCTGAGGAAGCCCAGCTTCTCATTTATAACATGGAGATAAGACATTGCCTGGTGAAACACTGGAAAAGCACTATAGCTGAAAAACACCAGATGTACTTCTAAATGTTAGTCTTGTCAGGAAAAAGATGGGAAGAAGATTAACGGAAAATATAACGGGGGTAGATTGTCCCTATAGCCAATTTCAGAAGTCCCTAAAACCAATATTTTAATAAATAATTTTAATGATCTCTAAACCAAACGTGAAGGTCTTCCTAAGCTAAGTTCTTCCTATACTCCCTGACTCCACGTGTTTGTACAACACAACCATTTTTACACTTCAGTTTCTGTGAGCACAGCTGACAGAGGCGGCCAACAGATGCAGCAGTTTGTGCAGCCCTATGCACAGGAGAGGTCCAGAAGCCCCGCTACGCCTTCTGTGTGCATGGGCTCTGCTGTGGTGGTGACGCTCCATGGTCCCCAGCAGCAACTGGAACAACTGTCCCTGGCCCATCACAGGTCTCAACCCAGCCTAAGTTCCTGAGGGAGTATGCAGTTCGGCAGGCCTGGGATTGCGGGGATGATGGGGAAGTAAGAGATGGTCTTTCAGCCCGCAGAGGTTTGCAGTGGTGGAGGGTCTGTGTTTTACATAGCTTGAGGGGGTCAGCAGATTGTGCAGTATCAGAGATGACACAAAAAGAGATTGAGTGGATCTTCCCTATGATGTAACACAAGGTATGTCAGATACAGCAGCCTGGATCCCAGACCTCCTCCAAGTTCAAAAATGGCCCACCCCACATGAGGAAATCAAGGAAGAGTAACAGGAGGCCTCTATAGATGAACCATTAGCTCCTGACAACGCTCAAATGTAAAAAGGAAGCATGTAAGAAGGGTAAGGAGGGTCAGGTGACCCAGGAAAGAAGGCTATAAAGACACTGAGTATGTAGGGACAGGGTTAGGAAAGCCAAAGCCATCTGGAGATGAATCTGGAGAGGGATGTGAAGGGCAACAAGAAAGGCTTCTGCAGGTTCATCAGCACTAAAAGGAATCACAGACTGGTTTGGGTTGGAAGGGACCTTAAACACCATCTAGTTCCACCCCCCCTGCCATGGGCAGGGACACCTTCCACTAGACCAGGTTGCTCAAAGCCTCATCCAGCCTGGCCTTGAACCCTTCCAGGGATGGGGCATCCACAGCTTCTCTGGGCAACCTGTTCCAGTGCCTCACCACCCTAAAAGGAAAGTAGGGTAAATGTAGGTATGCTGCCAAATGGGGCTGGGGACTTGGTGACCAAGGACAGGGAAAATGATGAGACCCTCAATGCCTTTTTCATCTTAATTTTAACTGGTAAAACTGCCTTCAAGAATCTCAGGCTCCTGAGATGCATGGGAAAAGTTTGAACAAGGAAGACCTCACCTGGAGGAGGATCAGGTTAGGAAACATTTAAATAAACTGGACATACATGAGTCCATGGAGCCTAATGGAATCCACTCACAAGTGCTGCAGGAGATAGGTGATGTCATTGAGACCACTCTTAAACCTCTGAAAGGTTATGGCAACTGGGGAATGTGTCTGAGGTCTGGAAAAAAGCAAATGTCACTCCTATCTTCAAGAAGGGCTAGAAGGAGGATCTAGAAAATTACAGGTCTCACCTCAATCCCAAGGAAGATGATGAAATCTTGAAGCTCTTTCCAAACATATTAAGGACAAGAAGATGACTGGGGCTATGCAGCAAAGATTTATGAAGGGGAAATCGTGCCTGAGCAATCTGACAGCCCTCTACAAGATGACGGTCTTGGTGGACACAGGGAGAGCACAGGATATCGTTAAGACATTCTCCCATGACATTTTTACTGACACACTGATGAAATATGGACTAGATAAGTGGACAGTGGAGTGAAAGCTGGCTAAACTGCCAGACTCACAGGGTTGTGGTCAGTGGCAGGAAGTCCAGCTGGAGGCTAGTGGTGTAGCCCAGGAATCAATACCGTGACTAGTACTGTTTGACATCTTCATTAATGTTTTGCAGATCATCTTCATTAAGCAGTTTTGCAGATGATATGAAACTGGGAGGAGGGTTTGATATAGTGTATGGAGATGGTGTAATTCGAAGTGACCTCACCAGGCTACAGAAATGATCCAACAGGAATCTCATGAAGTTCAACAGAGAAATGCAAATTCCTGTACCTGGAGAGGAATAACCCCCTGCACCAGTACAGGGCAGGGATTGACTGGCTGGAAAGTAGTTCTGCAGAAATGGGCCTGGGGGTTCTGGTGGACAAGCTGAACCTAAGCCAGCAGTGTGCTCTTGCAGCAAACAAGGCCAAGAACATCCTGGGCCACATCAGGAAAACTGTTGCCAGCAGGTCAAAAGAGGTGATCCTTCCCCTCTACTCAGCACTGGTGAGGCCACACCTGGAATGACGTGCCCAGTTCTGGATTCACCAGTGCAAGAAAGACAAGGACATACTGGAGTGATTCCAGTGAAGAGCCATGGAGATGATTAATTGGAGTATGTGTCATATGTTGGGAGGCTGAGAGAGCTGGGATTGTTCAGCCGGCAGAAAGCTCAGGGGGTATCTTGTTGATGTGTATAAACACCTCGTGGGAGGGTGCAAAGAAGGTGAAGTCAGATTCTTCCCAGTAGTATCCAGTGACAAGATAAGATGAAATGTGTACAAACTGAAATACAGAAAATCCCACTTAAACATAAGATAAAGGTTATTTACTGTGAGGGTGGTCGAACTTCGGAAAAGGACAACAGAGAGATTGTGAAGATTTCATCCTTGGAGATAGTCAACACCCAATTGGACATGGTCCTGAGCAACCTGCTCTAACTGACTCTGCTTTGAGCAGTGGGGAGGGACTAAATGACCTCTAGAGGTGTCATCCAACCTCTACTATACTGTGACTTTGTGATTCTGCACTCATGTGAGTCTTCAGTATTTAGTATAAACACCACAGGCAGAATCAGAGTTACTGTAAGAACTGGGATTTATGTACTTGTGCTCTGTGTCACAAACACTAACATTTCAAACCAGGGGAAAGTTTGGGATAGAATATTTCTTCTTCAGGATGTAACACTTTGTAAAAGTAAATTTATTTGCAGGCCATGTAAATATCAAGAAAAAAACAATTTGGGTAAGAGGGAACATGACATGTTGATGACATAATTGGAATTCAATGTCTCACTTTCTGTTCTCAAATGATTCATCTTTGAATTAGATATTATGTTATTGAATGTTCTCAAGTGTTCAAAGCAAAGTGTTTTCACAGACAAAAAAAATTGGTTAGTATTTTCTTTCAATGAAAAAGAAAAGGCAATCGTATCTATGAGCAGCAATGAAAGTATTTGCATGTGTTGGATGCAATTCTCTCATCTAGTCTGCACTGATTTAGTTTTGTTGGACTTCAGATTTCATCCACAAGTCTTTGAGAAGAATGGAGAGATTTCTATTGACTTCCGTGGAGCTTTTGCCTGTGAAAGGACAGCAGGGTTGGCTCCAGGGGAGACAAGATAAAGTCACATTGAATATCAAATACTTACCTTGGTCAATGAAAAGGAATTGGCATTATAGTACCCTGACTAAACACGTTTGCAGAGCAGTGGTTCCATGTCAAGTCACATAGCAAGCCTATCACCTAGCTACATCCAGAGAAGCAGCCCAAAGCGGCTATTGCAGAGAGAGATTCCTCATTGACTTTTACTAATAATTCAGTCCTCTTCAAGTTACTTAAAGACCTTAGGAGACAAGCATATACTTAAAGTAAAAAAGGTATACCATGAGTGGAAAACCAAGAAAGATCCAAAAGTGAAGACAAATGCCAGACATTTTGTTCTGCGTTGACTTTCCAACATTGATCTATCCAGGACCAATATTTAGGTAGTGGCCATCTGCCTAAAAAGGTACTAGAAGAAGTTGACATTTAGGAGAATAAGTCAACAGAACAAATACTGGGGAGAACCCTTTCTAGTCAACTCTGTAATAACAAGAAGTCTCCTAAGAGAATTTCAACATTTAAAGATCAGCTTAAAGGAACACTTTAGGCACAGCAGACTAATAAAAATCCTATTTTATAAAACATTTACTGTGCTTTGTAAGTAGCAAAAATATCACATGAAATTGAAAGTTATGAAGCTTTGCCTTAACCAATTCAGGGGGGAGAAAAGGGGATTATTTCCAAAAGCAATCCTCACATGAAGCAAAAGAACTATTTGCTTATTTCTAGTAAGAACAGAAATCACTAGTTGTGTAAAGTGTTAGGTCATATTTAACTATGGATATAAAGCAGACTCCTGCCTTCTAAAAGCTAATCAGTGTGGGTACTTATGTTCATAGGGTCTACCTGCACAGCCTATTCAATCCACACTTTCCTTCAAGTCTTTGAAAGCCTAAATGCAGTATCGGACATCACACTACAGATCCGTTTTCCTTACCCCTGGCATAATGATCTTCTCAATGTCTTTAAAGACATCCTCAAAACTCTCAGGATCCTGGGGTGCACAGTCTGGAATGAGTGGCCTCAGATATCCTGGTTCCACATCTGGGAAGACCTGCCTTTTATCTATCTTCTCCAGGTAATCTGCGATATAGTCCACCATCTCCTTCCCTCTCTTGCGGAACTCCGCAGCATCCATGGGTATCAGAGTTTAGGACTTATCAGAAAAAACCTGGGGGGAAAAAAAAAAGAGAGAGAAAAGACATTTTTGAAAGAAAATTTTACTGGTTTTAAAAACCTGTTATTCAGATGATTTATAGGATGACTCACATGGCCTTTCTGAAAAGAGCATGCTCTCTTTTATTTCTGCATATTAGTCCACTGCCCCTACAGCGTGGCATTGTGCTCCACTCCAACGTTAGTTGGACTTTGTATCACACTGTATCACACGTTGCATCACACTGTAAATCACACTGTTAAATCTTTGATGCCTAATGTAGATTGGCTTAATACAGATAGGCTGCAGATAGGCATAGAAGAGCAGTAGAGGCACACTGATGAAGATCCAGAGATCGCAGATTTAATTCCTACTGCTGCTGGTTGACATTAGGATGTGGCACTGTTATGTGGCACATAAACAACTCCCTTCTGCCTTATAAAGAAGTCGTCTAAGAAAATAGCATGCTGTGTGTCTCTATTATAATCTATAATAAATAGCTAGAATAATGACAGTTATCACAATAATCCACTGTCCTGCCCTGTCAGTCTATCTACTTCTTGCCGCCTGTCTTGCCTCAAGATTTACCTTCTTCACTCTTTCAGTGCAAATGCACATGCTGTGCCATTTACAAAACCTTATTTCTTACCAAGGTTTTAATTAGCATTCCCTTGGAATCGATCTGTATGACATTTTGCAGGAGGATGTGAGGAAGCCCTCTCTGGGGCCATCCCGTTTCCAAGATGCTGGGCTGGAGCTCTAGGTGTGCTTTGAGCCAGGCAGAGACGGTGGGTGCACACAAGGCGGCACATGGCTGGGCTGAGATGAGCTGGAGTTTGCCGGCGAAGGGTTGCGCAAGCATCAATTCATGTTGCTAGGGTGTCTGCTCCTGCCATCCCAGCCCGCCCAACTTCTTTACTTTATGAGGCTGTGCATTCTGAGTGCCCAGTGAATACCCAGTTGCGAGCACAGTGCCTAAAAGACATCCAGGAGTCTTTATACACTAAAATTGAGTGAGCCATACTGTTCTTTGGGACCTAGTAAGAAAACTGGCAAGTGAAGTAAGGATGCTCACTGCCGGTGTAGAGAATTACTATGCTTAGTTCACATACCTTCAGATCCTTACTTTGTAAGGAAATAATTATTAATCACAATATGAATATTATGTAATTAAGAGGCGATTTCCTAGATATCAGTTATTTGTGCTAAGGATTTATAACTGAGGACAACATTTTGAGAAAAAATATCCTTCTGGGCTTTATGATGTTTGAATTAGTACTGTCGCATTACAAAAGAAAGACATCATTGATAAATGCCGTGCTAGAGACATCTCTGCTGCTACAAATAGAGGATCTGGGATTTGTGTGGAGCAGCTGCTGCTGCTATTTAAGAAGGCAGGGTGCTGCTGTAGGTCACGAACTACTCGGGAGAGCAAGGATCTGCCAAGTAGGGACTTTTAGCCCCCCAGAGAATAGATGTTCTTGCTGCTATTTTGTTAGAGTTACATTACTCTCTTTAACCATCATGTAAGTCTTGATTTGGCACTCTCGATTCCTTTCTGAAAGTGAATTAGGGCCTTTCTCAGATCCTGCTACTAAGTTGCTGGAAACACATTACCAGTAGCCATTACCTTCCTCAGAGGATTCTGGTGGGCAGCTTTCTGTGCCATCTCCCCTTTGAAAGACTGTGTTTAAGCAAGCAGTTTTGTTTCTACTCCTTTACGATCAGGATGACTCCATTTCTTCAATACTCTCCAAATCTTATGTGCATGTTCATCTAATGCATCTTTGATTGCAGTTCAAAATTTTATTAAACTTTCTAAATAAGTCAGCACGGACTGCAGCAATCAATATGCATCTCCATGGCAGCAATGTGATTACACCCCAAGGCTCAATTCTTTGGTTTAGATTATTTAAATTTTTTTTTGCCAGAAGACATCTAAATATTGACTGTCTCGCTTCTTTTTCAAAGTACCTCTAACTTAATCCTCATCTTAGACTAGCATTCTTGCTTTTATGCTACTTCTTCAGTTCATTGCTACAGAATGCGCTAAAGAACTTCCATGTGGCAATTGTTACCTCTGGTTGCAGAGATGAAAGCTGTGAAAATAGGAATTTAACCTACGACTGCCAGATTAGTGGGAGTTGCCTGAGACTGAACTGACTCAGAACTTGGGGCTTTGGTCTAGCACTACCGTTGCTCACCACTGAGTTACAGTTATTCCTATGGACTTTTACACTTGGATCAGTTCAGCTGCACATCTCATTCAGTATCTGTGGGTCCAATGAACCGTCAGTACAACATCAGAACACCTAAAAGTATCACTCTACTACTTTCTAGCTTTACTTTGTATCAATCGAATATAGGGTATCATTTAACATAGAAGCTTACGTGGATTGCATGGTCTTTTCCCAAAATATAAATTAAATGGCATAAATTAAATAGCATCATGTGTAAGCTCAAGAGCTCACAAACACACAGACAAAAATAAATTTACTTCATCATATTACCATGACATAGTTACTATGTTATATAGCTGGTGACCATTTTTCTACCACCTAGATTTTGTTTTGAATCTGAAATTTCTTTCTGTTCCAAGCAATATTTGCATCATCTTTTTCCTATATAGTATGCAGGTATGATTTATTATCATTTTTATTGCTAGCAGTTTGGACAAAGTTCTTTCTGGTTATAAGGATAAGCAAATAAAATTTAGATCTAAACATCAGATATGCATTCTGTGGTTTCAGCCTATGATCATGGGACTGAAATTTGTCAATTCAGGTTGACAAAATACACATCTGAGATAATAACTAGGAACTTGTTTGTTATTTTCTAACTACAGTTATTCCCAAGAATTGGAGGTCCACTGACTCAATCTAACATTGTTTTGGCTGCACTACTTCTGTCATACATCACTGTTGCAATAGCATTCTCAAAATTCAGGATAAAGAATTAAATTACAGGGGAACCCCACTGTTTTGCATGGGAGAAATAATTAAACCAGTAAGCTTAAGCATAAAGAATGGGAGGATGAACCATCCATCCCAAATCTGCTATAGCTGATGCAGTGTTACAAATTGATATAAACTAGTATCTAATTAACTTCTAATGAACTTTCAGTTTGATCCAGTGAAATACATCAATCTGCTTCAATCTGAAGCAAAGTATTTAATTTTTCTTTCCCTCAAAGTCAATACTGAAAAATTCAAATCTGTCTAAATATCTACCATTTTTATGTACCCATTTATCTTCTTATTAATTATTTTTGTTTAGAAGTATTGCCTATAATTTTAGAATCTATTTTTCATATTAACTAAATATAAATGTAAAAGATATCTAAATACTACCAGGAAATTTGTTATGAGGAAGAAAAAAGGAAAAAGAGGAAACAGGAGTACAAGAGAAAAAAGAGGGAAAAGAGAACAAATGAGGAGAGTCATATATTCAATGTAATATAATTTTACACATGTCTGTTCTCCAGTTCATCGAAGTAAAATAAAAAACAGCTAACAGAAGAAAATCCTTTAGCAGCTCCTATTAGTAAATACAGAAAGGAAGAATCCCCAGATGCATTAATAGCACCCTGAAGTGAGAGCTGCATTAGCTCAAAAAAAGTAATAACCGTGTATCTTTCCAATAAATGAGACAAGTGAACTTTCTATTCTGCCAACTGATTGCTGCAGAGTATCATGCAGTTTAAAGGCTTTTGGTGCTACAGTGACACCACTGAAGCCATGAGGACTTTCTGCTATTGAACCCCACTGAAGGTTTTTGCAGCTGTTGCTACTGTTAAGCTAAACTTCCACTATTGGCAACAGGAGTGTTGCCTGAACAAGGATAGCAGGATGAATTTGATTTCAGCAAGAGTGAAAAGGAACTGGATCTATTCCGTACTTCTGCCTTTGCACAAGCCAAGAATTAGGTATATTCTATGTTATATATTATATTAGGTACATTCAATGTCTATATTATATGTTACAGGTCCTATGTTTCATTTAAAGAAAAATCATTTTCCAGCTAAAAGTTGCTGGGTTTATTCATTGCTGTCACTGGCACAGTCTGCAGCTTAGTAATCTTCCCTTCTGAGGTCTTGTTGTAGTGATGGGAAACAGTTATTTCTGAAAAAAATCTCACCCTAAAATGCCATGCATTGAATTTATCTTGAAAATTTAATTATTCAGAATCCTTGGCTGAGAATTTCTCAAGGTCTGCTGGGTTGCTCAGAACTGTCGCGCTTGGAAAGACAAGATAGAAACTTTTGGATACCTGAGATTCTGCATAAATGCATGTAAAGAGTTACCGCTGACACACATGGTACGTAACAAGGAGCAAACACGAAACGAGAGGTGCACGCTCCATTGTGCAAACACACTGTACTTGAAATGCTTTTTGAGTATCCTGGGTTATCCAGACAATAACACAGGCTGGCAGTTTATTAGCAAAGATCCCACTCTAAGTTACCAATTGTTGCTTTAATCCAAACGTGAATTCAACAACCACAAAGGTTTAAGGACAGAGAATGTTACTTACAGCGAGTTGGTAAGGGTTTTCCTCCTGCTGTCTCTCTCACAGTCTGTCTTTGCTCCTGTGTGACAGCTATAAAGCGCAGAGGATGCTGTTCCCAGCATATATAGGCAGGGTATCCACGTCCCCTCAGCCTATCACAGCCAGGCGCTTTGCATCCAACATGCAGCAGCAGCATCTCCCCCTCCTCCCACACCCCCTCCCAAATGCCCTTCGCAAGAAAAGCTACCCGAGAGGCAGACGGATCAGCCTGAGGGACGGCCCTTGCCCACGGTCACTGTGAAGTGGTGTCTGTTTCCTTCCACGAACCCCATTACGGAGTCTGACAGTGGGTGCCTGGTCACATGCCGCCCGTCTGCGCTACGCGCCCCGGGACATCTCCGCGCTGGCTGCGGCTGCATGAGCGAGTCCTTTGAACCACTTCGCTGAAACGCTGTCAGGAAAGGGGCAGAGGT